GGTATAGTGTGATCCTGTCATTTTCTGAGGAAGCCTGAAGGGGCCAACTGAAAAGCTGGTCCAATTGCTGCATCTGTTTTTCCAGAGGCAACCACACCGGAAGACTTTTAAACAAATATCATGAAAAAAAAAATAAATCTAAAATTAAACTAAAATAGAAACTTATTTCTTAACTATAACACCACCACCATCTGGCTTCCTGCTAAAGGGATTTAAGAGGATTTCAGTATTAAACTATGATTTGGCTTTTCATTGTTGTTTGTGTTTATACCGTCAAATATATGGCAACAGAGAAAACATGATGTTATATAACATATGCAACAAAGTTGTTCTAATGCAGAACTAATCTTTCTCTGTGTATGAATCATCTCACAGAAAAGGAAGTGTAGAACACCAGAAACACAGGAACCTAAGAAGGTTTGCAGAATGTATCCAGCATATGCTCTCAGTTGAGCTTTGACATATCACCAGTAGAATGGATTAAGTTTTTCAATAAAAACTCTAGAGCATCATTCCTTAAAATAGTTAGGGATGTTCAAACTGAAGGAGAAATCCAGGAATGGAGTTGCCAAGTAACAGATCTGTTCCATTTCTAGTTCAGTACTTGTATATTCTCCAGTGGAAAAAGACATCCAAGCTTTCACATAGATTTCATATAAAAAATATTCCCTTCTTCCAGATCCATAGAATCATAAAGGTTGGAAAAGACCTTTAAGATCATAAAGTCCAACCCTCAACCCAGCACCACCACCATGTTCACCACTAAACCATGTCCTTAATTGCCATATCCACACATTTTTGAACACTTCTTGGGATGATAACTCCATCACTTCCCTGGGCAGCCTGTTCCAATGCTTGAAAACCCTTCCATTGAAGAAATGGTTGTCATTTCTGGGAGGACATGTTAATACCAAAGATTCACTGGCTATTTTAACGAAAGCCTGTAAGAAGCACAAAGGTGGTATTTGACTAATGCTTCATGGCAATTCCAGTGTTAAAAGCTTGATCTATTGAGATGTTCCTACTAAATTTCAGCAGGCTCTGTGCCCTCACGCTTTTTGAGAGTGAAATATTCTAATCTGAGCTCACAGATTTGTTAATAAGAAGCAGCAAGTCCTGAACAGCCTGTAAATCAGATTTGTGAGAACTCAGTAGTCAACTTACAAGAAAGTTGTGATGAAAAGCACAAAACAAGCTGTAGGCACTAAGCCAGGTGCTGGGTCTGATTCTCCAATTTATGTCATCAGCAACTGGAAAAACATAAGGAAACTGTGATTCGTGTACCCTTGGGATACATGGTGGTAGTCTAGAAAAGATAAATGATTTATCAGAGGCAAAATTGCACATCAGAAGAACACACAGCTTTGCCTTTATGACCATTCCACTTTACACCCAGTTCTGTGCTTGGGCATGGTGTTCCATCTTCCCGGGGTTACTTCCAGCATCATAACCTTGGCCTGTCACAGCCCTGCCAGGTGCACAATGGCAATCGAGGGAATGCACAACTCATTCTCTTTGTCTGAGCCAATACTGACATCGTGTGGCTGTTGGCAGGGGCAGGAGACCTCTTCCTCAGACTTCTCTTCTGACTGTCCACTGTCTGTAGGACTAAGAATCCCTGTGATTTTTTAAAAACATTTGTTAATGATTTGCAGCTTAGGAAGTCAACGTAAAAGTAACAAAATCTGGATCATCCCTCCTATTTTTCTTTTGCAAATTGCCAGTGGCAAAAGCCCTCCTGTTGTGTGTGAAATGACTCTGTAGGTTATTTGGGGCTGTTAATGCCACCCCACTGGTTCACTAGTCAGTGGAATTTCAGCTATGGAGGAAACAACATGGACACGCAGACACCAGCTTGGATTCAGAGTTTAACATTGAGAAAGGCAGCAAAGATGTGCTGCCTGTTTAGCCCTGCCAAAGGCCTTGCTTGTCAAAGCCTTTCACAAGGAGACGAGGCAGCAAGCCAGTTACACAATCACAGATCCAGAAGCACAAAATGCTCTTGGGAATGTTCACATCTAACCCAGACTGAACTAGACAGGGAGAGTCTGCAATTACTATTACTGATGATTTAAAATAGCTTTCCCTTTGACTAGCTGTGTCTCCCTGCCATGTACAGATTGTTTTTATGATTTATCAAAGCTTCTTAAGGATGCTCTTTCTGAGCTGCCTGCTGCTTCTTTACAGTTAGTACAGTAGTGCAAAGCACTAGAGAGGTATTGCTGTATACGTTCCACATTAAAGATCAGACAGGGTAATCCATAAATAACTCTGCAGCTAAAAAGCTTGTAGCAGTTTGGGATTATACAAGCAGGCAAGAAGCATGTTTGTGGCAAGAATTTGTACAATTTAAAGCAAGAAGATTCTCTGATTTTGATGTCCAAGCCCACCAAAATAATTTGAAATTCAATAGAGAAATCACGCGATCTGTCTAAAAAAAAAAATTGGTGGAGCATAGGCAGTGTTTCCTGAGCTAATCTATCTCTACTGTACAGTACTAGGCAGACTTCTCGTACTTCTATATATTTCTCTGCAGTCCTTGCAATAAACACCTCATGATGCTCATGGGATGAACATATTCCAGATACAGGCACAACAATTGTTGCTAATGATTAGTTAATGGATGAGTTCGCACACAAAATGCAGTAGACATGTATGGGAGGCATGGGTTAGAGGAAAAGGAGAGAAAAATTGGGATATAAATATTATGGGACCGGGCCAGGTTGCAGTTTCAGGTATCAGTTACATCTCCGAGAACAGGTCCAAAGCCCAGCCATTCAAAGGCTAGAGCTGTGCAGAATTCACTGTGCTTCCAAGCATTGAAGAGGCTTTAGACCAGATTCACTCTGGACCATAAAGAGTAACATTTTACCAGCCAACTTACATTTGGTTCTCAAACCATAAAGGAAAAAAAGCAGATTGTCTCTAGTCTTGAGGAGACTATAAAAGCTCATGTGACCTGTGCTGTACTTCTCATTGCTCATGCCTGGCAGGGAGCTATTTGTGATTCCCCCTATAACCCTCACTGTTATACTCCCCTAAGAAAACATTCAAAGCACCAAACTGAGCCTTTGACCCCTTATAGGCACCTGCCCATTGTCTTTGAGAAAACACAGACCTGTCTTTCAGTGTTGTTCTCATCTCTCTTTATTGGTCTAGGAATCCCATGTGTCTATGACTAAAACCTAACCAGCGTGTGGGCTGAACCACACGTGTGGGCTGATCACATGTGTGCATTGTTTTGGACAGCCACAACACCAAATCATGGTGTTTCTTCACTAGGAGTCCCCAGCACAACATTGGATTCTAATGAGGATATGGTTTCCCATATTAGCACACTTTGATTCAGAGGAATACTGAGGGGTATTTAGCAATTCTTTTAATAATGGGCTAAAAATACCAATTAGGACCACACATTATAAAGCTGGAATTGGTTTGGCTTTCCTGCATAGTTGTGACAATGAGTATGTGCTCAATCAGCCCAAAGTATGTGCTTATCTGCTTATCCTGACTGCTTTGAGGTGCATTCTGCCAAATCTCACTGAATATGCCAACTCCTGCAAAATTTTAGGGATGGATAAATGACTTGTTGGGATTAGGGTGAGGTAAATTAATTTTCTGTTTGTGAGAGTGGAATGTAATTGTAATCAAAAGGAAAATGCATTTAACCAACGTACTAATTATGTCCTCCCTGCTGCTGCCCCCTTTGCCATTTGATATGATTGAGAAATTAGTCAGGAAAAAAATCTATCTATACAGACACAGGCACAACAACACAGCCCTTGTGGACTATTAATCAGCTTGCAACATGAAGTCAGCAGTCCTCTAAATTTTACACTCCTTCCCTGTCTGTCTCAGGGCTTCCATCAACTTCTGAGTGTATTTGCTGTCTTTTGGAGTCTCTGGAAGACACCTTTGAAGACCTCTTTTTCCACAAGCATTGCTTGAAATAGTGTAAAGCACTAGTTGGGACCAGGAACCTTCTTCTGGAACTATACTCTGCTCTGTTTCACTTCCATCCTTCCCTTTTCCCAAGACAGATACTCAGGGATAGATCCCATTGTACCACACTATACCATCAGTGCCATGAGCAGTCAGTAAATATCTCTGGAGAAAAATTAACAAAATAGACAGAGAGGGATGTATCCTTGCAAGAAGGATAAACAGATGCTTGTCTCGATGATGCACGGATGTGACTAATTTTAAGCACAGATGTATTTTTGCAAAAATTTTTGAGTTAAGACCAGAACTTATGGCTAGAGTCTCTGTTCATTTGACTACACAAAAAGAAGAAATGTCCTTTACTTGTTTGGTTAATTGGTACAGACATTTCCATAGAGTCATGAAGAAGTAGCAAATCCCTTCAACCCCAACCCACTGATCTCTGTAACTTCCTAGTAACAGTGTGCAAATGGATGTCAGGAAGCTCACAGTCTCGGTATAAAAGGCCAGAGGAACTTAAGTCTACTCATGAATTACATCCCTGAAATGAGCTCTTAAACACCAAACACAAAAAACCTGCAAAAAAACTTTCCAGGTATTTACTAATTTTTTGCCTTCAGGGTTTTGCTGCTTCAAGGTATCATTCATTTAACTGGTGAAAAAGAGCTCCATATTCAAGGGCTTTTAGGTCATGATTAGTTAATCTAATAATTACCTATTCAATAAGTCAGAGATAGTTTTCATTCTTCGAACAGAAGAACAGTCTGAATTGTAGAATCACAGAATAGTTTGGATTGGATGTTAAAGACCACCTGGCTCCAGGCCCCTGCTATGGGCAGGAACACCTTACACTTGACCAGGTTGCTACAAGCCCTACCCAACCTGTCCTTGAACACTTCCAGGGATGGGACATCAGCCACAGTCCTTCATATAGCTTATTTATTTGCTTGCACTTGAGCATCTTTTATCCTACTTATCCTTATCACTATCATGTTTGCCACATTCTACATGGACAAAAGGAGTTGGGGAACTTGCTAACAATCAAGGACCACGGAAAGTACAGACAAAAGGAAGCAAAGATTTTATTGACATTTCTTTACACATAACACAAGCTACACAAAATGCCACAATAAAGCATATGTAGAAAAATAGTAGAATCATATTGGCACTGATGTCTATTCATTATTATTATTATTACTATTATTATTATTATCATCATCATCTTATTATACAGGTTTCATCATAACCATAATAAATAAGCATTGAAATTTCACAGTGGCATTATAAGCTTTACATTCATGATCTTGTTTATACAAGGGACCATGTCATATTTCTTCAGCTTTTTTGTATGGTCATGATTAAAAGTAGTAGATTTAAAAATGAAAAGCCCTTTCCCTTAACCTATAAGGATCTGTCCACATTAATCCATTGACTTGATCCCTTGGAGAGGTCTGTATTTGTCTAAGAAGACGTTACTTTTAAAATACATTTGACCAACTGGAAAATTGGCTTTAAAAAGAACCCAGAACATTTGCTATCTTCTGGTGGTCTGATTTTGAGATGCCACGGATGCTGCTAGTTGCCATTCCATAAGATCCTCAGGCTGTATAAAGCTCTTCATCAGGTTAATCCACTTAGGCATCTCACCCATTATATCAAGAGTTCCTTTGACCAGCATTTCTCAGGATCAGACCTTTAGTAAAGACCTTGTGAATGCTGTTGAGTCAGAACCTACATTTCAAGAAAATTGATTTGCATCTCTGTTTTCCCTAAAATATCACGGAATTGACTCAACTTCATTTGTTTCCACTTTGTGAGATTAGTTTTGGTTCTTCAACATAAGTCTCACTTAAATCTTGATAGACATAGCTAAAGAAAATTGATGTGTGTGACAGTTGACAAATGTTCATTAGGGAAAAGGAAGTAAATTAGAGAGAGGCAGAAAAAGCATGTGTTGTAAATCTTGGTTTCTCAAAAACAAATAAATAAATGGTACAGATTTTCACTCCTCTCAGCCTCTAATTATTGCCTCTTCTGTCTGATTTGAAATACAATTTTCAAGAAACATAACTGCCTCAATCAAATGTAATAATGTCTCATTTAAAAGTCCAACCTGTAGTGTCACATGACAGAATCAGCTGTACTCATATTCAGACCACAGAAATAGTTATAATTAAAAATCTACATCTACAAAGTTCAGCCTCAGTATCAAGTTACTGTCTTTAAATTCAAATTTGCAGAAGGTTGCACTTACTGTTACATGCACCAGTTATATCATGCATATTGCTTATCCTGAGCAATCAGCCCCAAAAGAATTACTGGGAGAAGGATATATCTCTGATGCTTTGCTTTGCAGTTTGTGTGCACAAACATGGGCATATATCCAATGTTAGTATTGTACATCCACTATGCAAGAGTACAAATTGTTATTAAGTTCAGGGGCTAAGATCTTGAATTCGTATAGGTTTTTTACGAAAAGTAAAAATGTTTAAAGTATTAATTATTTGAAACTCAGCCCAATAGTATTTGGCAGGTACTTATCTGAAAAAAAAAACAACCAAGAAACCCCCAAAACAAAACATATAATTTCTTTTAAAAAAATTTCTAGCCTTGCGTTTGTTAACTAAAAACTGTAAGAGTGTGCTTAAAGAAAAGCACTTTCAGAGCTAATTATTTACAGGAAACAGTAGGTTTTAATTCCAAGACATATTTTCTTAATATTTAATAAAATAAGTAAAATATAACTCTTTGAACCACAGGATGAGGATCTTCACAGAACATTGCTCCTGTTCACAGCATTCTATTCCATATGTCAGTTGAGGAAGAGTGAAGGTGTACACATTTGACCCAGTTGCTCCAAGCCCTATCCAACCTGGCCTTGAATACTTCCAGGAACTGGGCATCAACCACAGTCCTTCATATAAGTAACACATTTTAGGTGTTACCATTGAGCTGAGAATTAATCCAGCAGCGTAAGTAAGGTGTTCCATTTGAATAGATACTGTAAAACTGAGGTTACTTCTGATGACATTACCAACTTTAACTATTAAAAAAGTTAAAGCTTGATTTTGAGGGTTACAATTTTAATAAACTTTGAAGAAAGTTTCATCAAGGTTTCCAAGACTCTTAAACCACAATAGTGGTTCCAGTGTCAAAAACAAAGTAACTGTGTTCATACATTGCACACAAGGAAAGACGTAACATAAATCAAGACCTACCCCACAGATGTATTTTGTTTATAACATAACTGGAATGTTTAGTTTTAAGTGCCTGATTGTGAATTTACAGCATGGAACAGAGGGCTAAGAAAGAGGACAGAATTCACTTACTGTCTTTATTTGACTAAATTAGACTCATAAACATAAACTCCTTCTAAACAAGAAAGAAAATCTCCCAGTAGACAGATCTTCCCTATTAAGGCTTGTACTGTTCATTGAAGGTAATTCTGCAAATAGAGAAGGTTTAACTCTCTGTCTCAAGTGCTGTGGTTAATTGTTTAAGCATAATTAAAAGATGTAGATTTAAGACCAGATTTTTATTTTTTTCTAAAAAAAGATTTAGGGATATATTAAGGGAGTTATAAATATGACTGAGGCATGAGTCTGAGACTCTGGCTAAAAACCCCTCAATAATAAATAAATTCATAGTTTAAGTCCAAGAAAACAAGTTCTAGGTTAAAGTGTACAGCATTTAAGGAATCTTATTATTAGAGACAAATCAAAGTAGTAAAACATCAACACAAGTTTCAATTTATTTCTGAACTTTGTGTTTTGGAATATGTTGATCTGTGGTTTAGTTTTGAACTGATACTTTTCCCAAATATCCAATAATACTCTGGAGTGATTTATTTTGGTGAATTGAGTAGCATTTGGAAAGTTGTTCTCTTTGCTTTCCCTGTCATTATTGCCATCTTGGTGGGGTATATTCCTGTCACATCCTAGACAAATAAAGGGTTTATCTTCGCCTTCTTAATCTATCAGAGCTGTATCTAAACTCTGACTCACCTGGAGATCCAAAAAGGCATGGGACAAAACATTACGTATCTTTTTTCTTGGCAAGATAAACACAGTGAAAAATAAACATAGAAAGCACTACAAAATATTAGTGGGGTTTCAGTGTGGTTTTTTTCCTGGATATGCAGTTGCAAAGGAATACTGTGATTTGTCTAGACTGATCTGCCTCATACTTCATGAGAAGATTTAACTGCAGAAAAAAGAAATAGTTAATTTCCCAAACTGCATGCATAGTCAAATATATACAAGACTAAAATTAGTAAGAAGAGTGGCAAAGCTGATAAATCATTGGTCTATCAGCTTAAAAATGAATGCTTGGCTGAAGAGGATTGATGTGAAGGAAAATTAAAAGATGGTGATAAGCTTCCTTCTCAGGAGATAGAGCAGCTCAGTTTGACATGTTGCATTGACCATGGAAACCATGGAGGTGGTAGATAACACACATAAATGCAGGACTGCTCAGATAAGTTTAGTTGGTTAGTGGTGTGCCAAGAGGTTGACAAATCGCTCTACAAAACAATCTCTCTCCTCCAATGAGGTGGGTGAAGCCAACAAGCAGCTCTTTCACCAGAGCTCTGGAGGATAATCAACATAAATTCGCCCCAAAAGCAATAGAAACCTGTCAGACTCAATGATCACCACCAGCTTCCTTCTAAGTAGGGTATGGTACATATACAACGTGTCTGGGAACATACAGACACCACATATGGAAATAACGTATTTCTCATATGGGAAAAGACACTTTCTGTGTACATATGTAGGTAGGGTATACATCATGTGGTATAGATGACATACAAGAACTATACTTTATATTATCGTTTTTACTGAAAGTGATGACTCATCTTAGATCAAAAAACTTCCCACAATCTATTCTTCAACCTTTCCCATGCATATAGCTGGGTATATGACATTGTATCAGAAATTCCTGGACATCTTTCCACAGTTGGGAATGATGCACAGAGTCTTATCCATATAAAAGTAGCAAAGAAGAAGTGTCTCCTGGACTGGAACAGGTAGATTTCTGCTAGCACTTATACTTTCAGGAAGGAATGATAAACTTCTTAAATTAGTTGCTTAAATATTGGAATTTTCAGCACCAAAATCTGTTTACTTATGAGTGTAACCCCATTTATGGGATGCATAGAATAATTGAGACCATTGCTGTACTAAAACTACCCACTTCAAAAAAAAAATAATTACTGGAGACTGGACTTTTATGTGGAGAAGGTTTTTATTTGTTCCTTTGGATAAGTAGTTTGTGTTTGTAGCTGATATCTTTCAAAGACTGGAAGGCGTGCTGGATTGCAGCAAGAGCAGACCTATTCACTGTGTCACAGTTTCATCTTTTCAGAGGCAGAAGATACTTGAAGACGTGAAGCTCCGTGCACTTAGCATATAGCCAATGGACTTGTGGCACCTATGTGTGCAAATCCATTTCAGACAGATATGGTTAGTTTTCTACTCAGATAATAGGAACTTGCAGCACTTTGGGTGAAAATAGAGAATTGAATTTTCAAAAGCAGAGAAATCAAGTTTCAAGGTTGTAACAGAAGTTAATTTAGTCTGACCTTTTGCATAAGAAAAGTTTATACATATTTATTCTTTATGCTTTTATCCTATGAGGGGAAAGCATGACTCATCTGCATTTAAAGCAGTCTGTTTAAGACTGATTAAACTGTTTCATAAGTATTTTTATTCAGTGCATGGATTTCTCTTAGGGAAGTGCATATGTATTATACAGTCTTACTAAAATAGAGAAGAAACAGCAGCTGCTGTGCCCAAAGTAAAGGTTAACTCACAGGGGGCTGCAAGCTGGAAGATTGAAATTGTAGGAATAGGAGAACAGCTCCAGCTCTTTGGATTAGAGCCTCAGTTAGGAAGAGGATGTGATGAGTGCCAGCAGCCACTGAGGCCCTCCTGAACAGAAAAAAAGGCACGTGTTTGCAGCAGTTACCATCCAAGGAAGTTTGTCAGTGCCTGGAGCCTCCTAAACCCAGTTCAGTGTTGAGAAACTGGACAGGGCCCAGTAAAGGATTACCAAGACAGTCTAAGCACACAGCTTCTGAGTTGCCTCAGAAGGCTGAGTTTGGGTTATGTAGTGCAGCAGAAAGGATGCCAAATCACAAAGAGCTGTCTGAAGGTAAGGAAAAGGGAGTTTCAAGTACACCAGAAGCAAGACTGCCCCTGTAGAATAAAAAGGTGGGATAAGAAAACATAAGAGGAAGAAACTGCAGCTCAGAAACTTCAAATTAGATTTTATCTTTTTTCCCCTTCCTTTTGAGAGATGTACAGCACCTGAAAAGGCAATCCAGAGGAGCTGTAGTATATCCATCACCAGGTGTTTTCAAGACGCAGGAGGACAAAGACAGGGCTGACCTTACCATGATGCTCATGATAATCTTGCTTTGAACAGGAATTAGACTGGGACATTTCCAACTGTTCCTTCTGAAACAAAATATTCTGTTATCTGTAACATGTCTGGATAGGTGCATAACAGTCCTCATAAATGGCTGAGAAAATTGACTGGAATGAATGCGAGACCACGATGTCCCACTCCTGGATAAATGGAATGACAGTGCTGGATATATTTGTGAATGCACATCTGCACTACTTTGCAGTCTCTGAAGGAGGTGCAGTCAGGTCATGGAAAGGTGACCATGCAAATGGGGGGATGTCTGGACAAAACAGAACAGCAGTTTAGGGCAATTTAGGCATCTGAAAGAATAGTAAATTAAGGGAACCATGAACACAGCCAGAGGCACAATCTTGCTGTGATTGTGTTTGACTCAAAAGGTAAAACCAAACCAGAGAAGAATGAACTGCAGCTAAACAAGTCTCAGACTCAGTATTTTATGACTCCAACCACAATTGGCCTAATTTTTAATTCAGTGATTATTTGCCCTGAAACTCTGACACTACAACCATAAAGCAACTGCATTAAAGAAGATGAACTCTGACTCCAATAGACCTGTATTTATATTGATTTACAACCTGAAACCAATTCAATGATTAAACAAACACTGAAAATTTGGGGAGGAGGTAATTTGAGCGAGAGACTGTCAATTATGTAACAACATTCAATATCAAAATTGCTGAGCATATGTATTATAATAAAGGAAAACATTCGATAAGTGTTCTCCATGGACATGACCTTTGACATTTAAATAACCATCTGGAGTGAAATATGTTAGGCTGTTCTGACGATAATTTATAAATGGAAATTTAAGTCCACAAAGAAAATAATCATTCAGCTGGCTGACACATATTTGCATGCTAAGACTGCTGCAGAAATGCCCCATGACTATTCATTACATATTAAATTTCATGGAATATTTTCATAAACCTGCACAAGAGTCTAACCTTGTTATTAGAAGTTCTCACCTTTCTCCTTCATCACCACTTAGCTATTTCAAGTGCAGAGGTATAAAGGAAGATAACTTTTTTTTTTTAGCATACAAAAAGCACCATAGAAACCTACAAATAATGAAAACTTGCTTGAATTCCCAGTTTTCACACTGTCTTGTAACAGCTTTATCTCTCAAGTGTGGCTCTTCTCTGGTGAGGGAGTGAAGAGGATTGGTCAGTGGATATTTATGAAGTACTTTGAAGTGAAATAGTGCTCAGTATTCCTGTAAGTAATTCCAAAGCTCTGTACTAAGGTTTCAAGTCTTTAAAAAATAATCCTTTAAAGCTAAGAAATTTCAACTTCCCCTATTGTCAGTGGACAGACCTGATTTTGAAAACAAATTATAAATTTCATTAAAAAGAAAATGAGCATCCATTGGAGGCTGGGAAAAGACACATTTCCTGAAAATTTTAAAGGAGTCTGATTTATATATTCAGTGTTTGCTTTTGTTCAAGGTGTACAGTCAAAAACTGTGCCCAAGTATGAAAAACTGAAGAGCTAATAAGAAGATCATCTAGTCCTCAAATGCTGGGCCTCCAATTTTGATCTATGTCTTAGATATCTAAAAAGTGAGTCTTATTATAAGTCCCCTGGTCAGAGAATAGAGGTAAGTAATCCTGAATGTCACTGACTACATAGAGAAATGAAGACTTTTATTTTCATAGAATAAATTCATTTTGCAACTAATTTTTAAGCACAAATTAAGTAATGAAATTAGACCAGCCAAAGTCTATGATTCTCCAAGTAGAAACATCTCCAGAGGATACAGGAGATGGGATCTTCAATTTCCAGGAGATTCAAAACCAGCTCTGAAAATCCTCAGCCCACCTGCAGAAAGAAAGAACTCACTCTTCTGTCCCTCATCTACTCACACTTAGTCACTACTGCAATTTCTTTTCAGTCAGATTTAAGAAAAAAAATATTCAATTCCAGAAGAAATGCAGTTCACCTGGTGGAGCCAGGAGATCCTCCATGCTGGTTATAAATCTTCCTACATGCCAAAGAAACAACCTTGGAATGCTGGCTTTGTTTTTTTCTTAACTGAAGAATCTCACGGAATTGAAGGGGGTTTCACTTCACATACAGCAAACACTGACACTGACAAGCTACAAAAAACTCCTGTTTGTCCCTCCTCTGTCCAAGGTTTTGAAAAACTATCTTATCCTCTATAAATGTGAGAGCTGAGCTTAAAAGTTTAACCCTACCCCCATAGACACACGAAGCCAAGGGGAGTTTGTGCAGTTTACATTTGCAAATGCAGCTAAATTTATTTTAAAAGGCTTTACGTGAAAGAACAATATATTAAAATTCCAATGGTTGAGACAGAAACAAAGATGCTAACTGTGCATTTAGTTTGCTATTTTTATGAAGATAATTTTTAATGTATAATTCTTTCTGTGCAAACAAAAAATCTGAAAATAAGTCCATGCTGATTGCTATAGCTGATGAAGTCCAGCAATTTAGCTACTATTTGTATTGAAATGAAAATGCAGATTTCTTTGCAGTATAGTCTATACAGTTAAGTGGGTTTACAGTATTGAGAGTCATTATGAAGGCAACATACTGTTAAAAATAAAGAAGAAAAAGAGAGGGAGGTTGTTCTGATAATGTTAAAATGAAAACTCAATTAGACCGTTACTGCCAATATATCCCACAATGTTCTGCCAGCAGAAGGAAGATAAAATCTGTATCTTATCTTTTGATAGGAATGACATCTCCCAGATTTTTCTGAGGCTCGATAGAAGCTCTCGCCATAACCCACAAGGTGTAAGTTTTATGGACCTAAGCCAACTGCATATACATTCCAATTCTGAAATCAGACTGAGCCATCAAAGAATTCCATATGTATAGGAGCACTGAAACCTTTAGGTGTATTTCTCCATCAGTCAGAGCACTGGTAGGAGTGTAGGATGTCAAAGTGAACACATGGAAAGGCCCACCAACTTCTGCAGCAAAACAGAGATCTTTTCACATGTCCCTTGTCTCACAGTCATGCAAGTAGAAGGCTGGGAATGCTGTCCAGTGTACAAGGCAAGGCAAGAACCACCAATCTGAGTGGAAGAACAGTTACACTGGTACCTTGTCAGGCTCAGTACACCCAGGATTGCAAAAGTTGGTGTGAGACTTTGACATAAGCATATTTCTTCATACAGACTGTATACATACACACACACATCAGGCATGTATGTAGGTGTAAACTAACTTCCTTCTAAATATTTTTTCCGAATTTTCTGGTGGCAGACTCCTGAACATTTTCTACAAGTGGACAAAACCCTCATACAGCACACTGAAGCTTGCTGATGGTTAGAGATTGCTTTTGTTTCTTGTTTTTTTCACATAAAATCCATGTCCTGGTTCAAAAATACTGCACTGTATAACAGCTCAACCTCCACATCCCATAATATTAAAATTCTCTAGACAATTTACCGAGGAAGAAGTAAGCTGTGATATGTCAATGTAGGTGGCATTAGACAGCTGAGGCTGAAAAGTGAGAAGGAATTTCCAAACAAGAAGTGAAACCGAGAAGTTCTTAATTCCTGACATAATTTATTTGTTAATGGGCTAAAATCGACTTTTTACTTTTAATTGTCAATTTATAAAAAGGAAAAGAAATAAAAAAAGAGAAAATAGTATTTATCTATTTAATTATAATACTGAGGTAATATTTAATATTTAAAAAACTTGTTGAGAGTGAATTACACCATGGAACTCTTTCTATATAATTTCTGCCCCTTTGAGGGCACGAGATTTTTACATGTAATATGCCTTCTTATTTTCAGTTGATCTTAATCTCACTCTTTGGTATATTCCTTCTTTCTCCTTCCTTATTAAGGAGAAGAATGCCTACTTTATCAAACCAGACTTGTTCTTTATCGGCGTTTGCCAGCCTGCTAACAACTCTTTTCTTGAACTGATTTTGTGTAAATTGTTTACATTTTTTCTTTTGAGAAAAAATAGTTTTACTTTTTGCATGTACAAATGTTTTCCTGTGGTTGTGAGGTTTTCTGTTTGCAATTTTTATTCTCTTATTTCAGAAATCTCCACTATTTTGATCTTAATTTACTGATGAGAGCCTTGACACTTAAAACCATCTTTGTAATTTTTTTACAGTCTTTGTTACAAGATATAGAGACCTGTTTATTTATGTTTTTAAACAAACTATATCTGCATTAAAAAATAGCCTACCTTTCAAACAAAAATAATTGTGAAGGATTATTCATTTTCTCTTTTTTTGAAAAAACTGCTGTGACATTGAAAATTTATCAAAATGTTATGAAAATGTACAGAAAGTTATTGAAATTTGCCACTTTAAATCTGATAATTTTTTGATAAATATTTAATGAAAATTTGATGAAAAAAAATAAAAAGTGAGAAAAATGTTCTTTTCCAAACTCTTAAAAAGAACTTGGATATCTTTGCATGAATAAATTTTTAAATGTTCGAACCACCTGAAACTATATAATAATTAGGACTATACAGCACTGGAAAGGGGTATTAACAAAACATTCATAGGGTATTGCAGAGGATCTTAAGAAGACATTCTTTTTCCACAATCCTTACTATTCTACATCTCCAGCCTTTTTTTTTTAAGTGTTTGGGTTTTTTTAAGGGTATTTTGAATTTCAAATCAGAGTAATTAATTAAAAAATAAATAAATAAAATTGTCAGGGTAAATGTACTTGCATACAAAGGTAAAAGTAAAAACTGTACCTCTAAGGTTATAACAACCACAATAAATGTAAACAGAAGAAATGTGAACAGATGCCACTGATATTTTACAAGTAATCCAGTAGACTCCTCTTGGTTTGGCAGCTTCTTATTTGAATAAAATTCTTGCCAACTTAAAGTTGAGGTTTCTTTTTAAAGACAAATACCAATTTTTCTTCATTTTATGTAAAATATTTCACTCCTTTCCCTTATTTGAATGTAGAATTTGTGTATGTTACAATTAATGTATGTTACAAATTATAACCAGTAATGGAATCATCCAAATATTTTCTTGCAACAAACAGAAATACTGAAACTTTCATAAATGGTTTTCAGACTTCTCAGCTCATCACAAAGGAGGATTTAACCTGAGTTCACATACACTTGTTTCCTCTTGTGTTAACTACCCCAAAAGTGCTACAAATGTATAGCTTTGTTAATACATAAATAAGCATTAAATCAAGGACAGACAAATTCCTGGATTAATATTCAGGAGAAACAGGAATTAGATTGGTCCAAACACATTTGGAGAATTAGCCTGCTTATTCCGATTCTGTAGTCCAGAAGTGGCTCATGTCTTTATGAGGACAAAGAACATAGAAACCGAAGAGGAATATTTATTTCTTCCAAAAGCACCAATACTTGGAAGCTTGAATGCCTTAAAGCCATAGCACTTTATTCTCTGAAAGAGAAATGGAAATGGAAAGTTTGAAAGTCCCACCTGATGTCATTTCTAACACTGCACTCCTTTGGCTAAGGGATTCTCCTCTGTTCTGTGAAAAGATTGGCCTCTGCTACCCCGTACTTCAGGCACTATTTGAAGTAGTTGAGTCCTGCCACGAGGAAAAACTTCTCCAGGAAAAGTTCAGAGTCCAGCACGGCAATGTGGGCAGCCCGGCCTATCAACGTGTTGGCCGTGTTCGGCAGGGCATGGAACACGTTGTGTCGGATCAAAGTGCAGTCCTTTGCCCCAATCAAAGGCTGGAGCAGGTTGTTAATCATCTCTGCGTAAACAGGACCTGAAAAAGAGGTTAGATGTCACACCTACATGCCACAGACCCCAGATCCTCTCTTTTCTTCCAGTATCATTTAATTACAGTCACAGTGAGAAGGAAAATAGAAGCAAGGCCAAAATGCAGGAGATAGGAGGCCAGTTCAAAGATTTGCCAGGTGCCAGGGTGTTGTTAATCTAGTGGAGGCACTGGCCATGTGGAGTGATCTGCTGAAGCTGCGAGCAGGAGGAGTGGGAAAATCCTGGGCAATCAGTCACATTTCCTCTGTCATTGAAGAAAATGTTCTTGTTCCTTTCAGGGGAGTGCGGTTGGACTCAGAGTGCCTGTGGATTCAAATGTGAAAGGGTCTGGCAGGACACAGTGGTCCATTGAGTTTCTCTCCTGAATCTGATGCAGGAAGGATGTCATGTAGACATTTGGGGAGTTTATGGGGTAAAAACTATGACTCAAGAAACACGTACTGATAAATGATCTACACCGAATGCAGATCTGGCTCCTACTAGGTCAAGTACCTCCCTGAGAAACAAGAACTGTATGAGAGTTAAAGAATGACCTCTTAGTTCATATCAGAGGTAGGATAGAAAGAGCTGGCATTTAGGTAAGAGGAGTGAAGGCAACCGTGCTGATTACTGGGCCTAGGTGTGTCCTGTTTCTAAAGAGTACCTTAATTTCTAGGTAATCACATATATGAAAGAGGGATGAAATTGCACTGAGCATTATTGCTGGAAGTGGTATCAAACTGAAGCCACGAAACATTTTATAAATGAGGCAGACTTCATAACAAAGGCAATGCCTGGGACAACACATGGCCTGAGCTCACAGGAGAGCCTCTGAGTGGCGTTCAGTCCCGATATGCTTCACGGTTTTTATTACAAACCAACACAATTTTAGATCTGTCCCTTAAATTATCTGACAATCACTCAAACACTCTTGGAAAGAAAGGGAAAATCCCTTGACTATGGTTATGCTGAGAGAGATTTCATTATGTGTAACAAAGATGAGATAATATAAGTAAATCAGTAGACTACAGAAAAATATTATCAAGAGCTAGTTCTATTATCATCACTTTAAAGAAAAAAATTTAGAGGGAAGAGGAAGAAGCAGTAAGAAACCTTTGATTATGACCTGATTTAATGTTTTTTTTCATCAGGCAAAGAGCTTCTTGAAAAGCTTCTTTTATTGATTTCAGTAATTTCCTGTGGGAAGAGAACACTTTCTTCCTTATCAAATAAACATTTGAGTTTTCATCATGCTGATGAAAAACCCTTCTAATGCAATGACCTCAGCTGCACAAAACCACAATTCCTCAATAGCTTTGTGAATATAGAAAAGATCTTAAACATACCTGTGTGTCTGTCCTTAAGTGCATTTTTGCACATTTCTATTCTTGCTGAATGGAAGGGTACATATCTGTCTTGGGGTGAGGCCACTAACACAACATTTTTAAAGTACTGAAGACCTGTGGCAAACATATTAAATACATTAATCACAGTGAAGTGCAGAGATGAAAAATACACACAGTGTCAGCATGACTACTTCATGTTCAAAGGCTTTTGAAAACCTACAGGGCAAAATACATGATAATTATTAAAACACGCAACACGAGTTTAGAAAGATTCCTAACAGCTTAAACACATTTCTGCTGCTTCTGAGACGTATTCATTACTTATCAACAACCAAAAAGGTTAACTGTATGCTAACAAAAAAAAATCCTGTGAAAAAAAAACCTGATTAAAACCTTAATTTTGCAAATATTTATACCTCTAATCAGAAATAAATTTAAAAATAACACAATGAATTAGCACAATTCTCAAACATAATAGAGAGAGGGAGGAAAAAAGGAGTCAGCTTCACTGCTGTGATGTCATACTGTTACACCACTGTTGAGAGAGCCTTGGGATCCATCCAATCCCTGCATTCAGCAGTCCTTTGATAAATGTACACTGCTGGTACATCGACTGGAAACTGGAATCCTCATTCTTCCCTAGAGGTAATAGGGCCATTGATGAGTTGTGGAAACAGGCTCCTGCTGTTTGCTCTGTGGTGTCTTGAGCCCTCCACGCCCACATTTAGCAGAAAAGTAAGAAAACGGATACCAATGATCTGGGTTATTAGTCCAGAGAGTACCGTGAACACAGAAGAACTATGGATTTGTCATTCATCCTTCCCTCCCATCTTGTGTGAAAGAGATAAGGAAGACTGAACTTTCCATCGTGGACATTCAATTCCAATAACAAAGTGTCCTTTTCTGCCCTGGAGATGCCTCTCTTTATCGGCAGTATCCAGAACCAAGGCCTGGCTGGCTGGGGCTGATCTAGAGGAAGGTGTCCCTGCTTATGGCAGTGGGGTTGGAATGAGATGACCTTTAAGGTCCATTCCAACCCAAACCATCCTATGTTTCTATGATTCTGTGACTGTGATTTCTAGATTTTCACAGAAAAGCTAACCATCACCACCACAAAGAAAAGTCCTGCTGCCTGCCCTTCCAAAACCTGTCTGAAGCTGTTTTTCTTCTTGTGTAATCAGAGTTTATAACTTAATTCTGAAGTAAAAAGTAGGAGAAGCAACAGTACGTGTTACCATATCTAAAAATCTATGTGAAGAGGTTGAATACGGAAGAATATTTTGTTGGCTTTTGTTTGATTTTTTTTTTTTTAAGACAAGCATGAGGAACATTTTTTAAAGAGATTGAAAAGTAGCAGGGACTTCAACTTTAACAAGAAGGTCAGAAATCGCTGGAGGTTTAAAGTGTCATCTGGGAATGCAGGCACAACACTGCTTCTGGCATTTCTTCCTCTGTAGGTTATCCCAACCACTTCTTGGAGCAGGGTGCTCAGGCGGGAGCATCTCTATATTGACTCAGTATGCCAGCTAATATATTCATATATGGACCTATCTGCTTCTTCAGACATTTTGCATAAGCATGTACCTGGATGATTCTGACTTTACAGGCAACTCTATCCACATTTAAATTTCTGCTTTCTGCATTTTCAGGTACAACGCCTTAATTTATAGTGTGTTACATCTCCAGTCTACCAAACTAACAAAAAGCAAATCACTTTGACTCGCAACACATGATTAGAAATTTTTTTTCTTGGGAGGTTACAATATAAGCTTCCTGTGTAGACCCAATTTATTTTAACTCAACAGTAGTGGAGCAGACATCAACTGTACTCCATGGAAATGAGAGCCAGGGAATCAAACGGAAAATTCAAATAATGCCAGTATACACCATCTCCCTGTCACTGATTATGCTATGTAGTGTGTTCATAAAATTAAGAAACAAGTCTATGTTGGTCATACTAAGAATTAAGATGTTATACTCATATTAGCATAGTCTTTGTTTCCTATTAGCAGTGTAACAAAGTAAGAGAAACAAATTAAACACCAAGTAGAGACCTTGTGACTACATGCTTGGCACCAGTTTGCTCAAACGCAATATGAAAAATAACTCTTAAAAGAAAACATTTGCTTGAGTAGAAGGATCATGCTTGCTTTCTTTTCTTAAGAAAAGCCTGATTTATTTTATTTATTCATGACAGACCAAAGAAGGGGTAAAAAGATTCTTTATTCAGACACCATTTTTCCAGTGTGAGACCATACATCTCTCTTTAGTACAGAAGTGTCAAAATAGACATGAATAAAATTTGCTCTTCATCTCACAGAGTCATATTTCCCAGAGACAGGAGATGTTAAACTTACAAAAAATAATAAGAAAGGAAAAATGGTTTTCATCTAGTAGCATAAATTAAGCAGTGGTGGCCTGTCAAGGATGATGTTTCTTGCTTGCAGAATATAAACTTAGGTGCATGTTTACTGCAGCACAAAGATCTTGTTTGATGTTTACAGTTTAGAAAATACATTCTTTGATAACCAGTACAGAAAAAATGCACAAATAAAATAGATATTAGATTTTAGAAAGAGCCACCCTTCCTGAAAACAAGAGTGTTCAAAGAAAGATCACTAACAAAATGGAGATTTCCTTTACTCCCTGGAGAAAATGGCAATCTAGCACAACCCATTGGAATAGCCCTTGGTATTTCCAGAGGCACATAAAGCCCTACTCACCCGTTTTTTGACTGAGCTGATAGAGGAAACACTTGCGCAGATCCGCGTTGTCCCTGAAGGTCAGTTGCAAAAGAGACCCTGACTTTTTCAACTTCTGCATGAGCCACAGACCTGGAAAGAAAATTGGTGTATATTTTTCTCCTGTTTGTTACTTATCAAGCAAGGTAATCAAAGATATGTGCCTACAGTAAGGATAGCACTGTAATTCAGAAGTCTTTTTTACTCTTGCATTCCTAATCAACAGGGAAAAAAGTCTAAGGGTCTCACAAGATAGACATAACAGTCTTAAACTAAAAGAGGATAGATTTAGATTAGATATAAGGAACAAATTCTTTACCATGAGGGGTGTAGACACTGGAGTAGGTTGTCCAGAGAGGTGGGAGATGTCCTCCCTGGAAACAATCCAGGTCAGGTTTGATGGGGCTCTAAGGAAACTGATCTTGTTGAAGATGTCGCTGTTCACTGTTACAGAGTTGGAATTAGATAATCTTTAAGGTCCCTTCCAACCCAAATTATTCTATGATTCTATGGTTATCCATGTCATGGTAGCAGAAACATTCAGGGAGACTGAACTCTCCATCACGGACATTAGATTCTGATGAAAAAGTGTCTTTTTCAGCCCTGGAGATGTCTCTATTGTCAGCATCCAGAGAAGTGGAAAACTAAGTGGAAGCAGGGTCATCTCTTACTGCTACGCACCCTTGGGTTTTCCAGGGAGCACTGTGATGGACCTTGTAGTAGATATTGAAAGCCACTCTCATTGCAATTTTTTCTTTATGGGTTTGAAGTCTTCAGAAAATATTTTCCACAACTGCAATGCACAAGTCATGCTACGATTTATTGCTGACTCCCTGTGTTGCCTTCTCATGCATTCTGCCATGGACCACAGGCAGTCATGGCTATCCCACCAGCTCTTACCTGTACTAACCAAAGTGCTGTTGTTGTAAAGGGTTCCCAGGTGAGGGCCAGAGAGGGACAGGAAAGTGTGTAACTTGTTGAGGTAATAGCGAAACCTGGGCCGAGTTAGTACAGATCGAATGATGACGTTACCAAGAGAATGTCCAATAAAACTGTTGGGAAAAAAAGAATTACACTAATACAAAACCCATCTGTATTTTCTTTAAATTAAACACACAGATAGCACAAATTACTCTTGTGGGCGACTCTTTTACTTAGTTATCAGTTAGTCCTTTAGCTGTTTTTTTCAGACTACAAGATACTCTTTCATCTATAACAATGTAAAAATTAGTCTCACTGATTCAATGGCTTGTAGTACAGAGCACTTTTGGAAAAGCTAATTTCACTGCGTGTTGCTCATGTAATCCAAAAAGTTACAGACTATTGACTACCATAGGACTTACCTTATTCGGGATATGGAGAGGTTGTACAACTGGATATGCTGAATAATTTCATCCAATAATCGGTCAGTCATTGTATCAAAATCAGCAAAAGTATCAGTCTGGTGAGAAATGAAATGAGTTAGTGAATTAAAATATACGCACTAATTGCAGGCAGATGTTGTTTTTCAAAGTAAAATGCAAGTAGAAATGTAATAACCTGTGTAAATTTTCTTTATACATGCTCAAGGAGGAAAAAGGGCGATTTTTCCCAGTCTCCAGGTCCTCTAAAAATTGAAGTTCTCTTTTCAAAGAGATTTTTGAGTGACTCCACAATCCTAAGTATGATGCTAAAGCAGCCTGACTTGGCATCGGTGATGACTGCTAATGCTCAGCTGTTCTAGATATCAGACTCTGCACATGGAAGAACAGCTTTTGCCATTTGGGAATCAATAGATTACAGCGATAAAACAGTTTACAGCGATAAAACAGTTTACAGCATTTTACGCTGACATGAGAGTTATGCTGATGATCAGGATGTCATCCCGAAATTATTTGGCCATCTTAATCAAATGCTATGTGTTTGTTATTCAACAGCCATCAGAAAGAGAATGAGTTTAGAGAAGCAAACAATTTGTTGCTTGCAACAGTACTGCCAGTTGTGAGACAATAAAACAAATAATATATTGTCCAGTCTATACAATTACAGGCAGATCTTACTCAGAACTGTGTCATTTGGCAATTCAACAGGGCTCTGAATCAAATTCATAACTAATGAGATGCCACAAAAACAATCATCAAGTGTTGGAACAGCTATTCAGTAAAACATATCAGTAATTAATGCTTTTGAAACATATCATTAATTAATGCTTTTGTGACACAACTCATCTTGCTAATTGCAGCCCTTGCAAAGGAAAACATGAGCATATTCATTTTGCAAGAGACTTAAAATAAATGTTCTCATAAACTACAAACAGTCCACTAAACTTCTGCCTGTTTGTTTTGTTTGCATTGATAATTAATGATTTCCTTCTAGGCTCATTATCCCAAACCGTTCAGGTTGTTTAAAACTGGAAGAATATCAGCCTGAACATTAATCATAAATAAAGCGCATCAAGCTTCATATTTCACCTGGTCATACCTCCATCCTTTACTATCATTTCAGCCTGACTGAGCTTTTCAAATGCATCACAAATGAATGCCTAAAAGAAGTGATTTTCATTTTCCTCTGTAAGGCAAAACAGATAAATGACTGATTTCTTGGGTCATTTTCAGTGTGGTTCTCAAAGAAAGGAAAAAAACAGTGATGGAATGCTTTGAAGCATCAAAATAGTCATCAAACCACCCACGTTCTATTTCCAGTGCCATGAGAATTTCCCCACCTTCACAGACTTTTTTTTTATGGCCAGTCTTCGCGAGCGAAGATTTGGGAAAGGTCATTAACCCTTCGAGCCTGCGCAGTGGATTTTTTAGGTGAGACACAGCGTGCGCTGAACTGAGCCCACCCTTTAATCCTGAGGTTCATCTGCCGGGGCCGAGCAAGCTTGGACAGTGGCAGTGAGGTCCCCAGGACGTAGGTTTGTTTAGAGTGACCTTCTCTTAGATGGATTGCCTTACAAGGCTGACGAGCTCCATCTGCCCGGGGGGCTGGGAATCGAACCCGGGTCGCAGCGGTGAGAGTCCTGCACCCTAACCACTAGACCACCAGGGGCCCCTCAACCTTCACAGACTATGAGACCTTTAAAATAGTTCCCATTATGGGCTCTGGATAATGTTAAATATAGATGCTGTATGATTTTTCATTCTCTGAAAACATTCTCTTCTCTGAGGAAAGGCTTTGATGGAAGTATGAAGTGGTCTCACTTATTTCACCTTGCTTACATTCACTGTACAGGTCTGCAGCTGACGGGGATGTGAGCTGGAAAGTGGTAAGTTCACGGATTGACACCAACCAGCCACTTCAAAAAATAAAAGCTGTTGAACAAAGAAGGTTGGAAAGTTTTGACTCACGTTTCTCAGTGGCTTATAAATCAGAATGATGTTTTTGACTGGGCACTGGAAATACTTATGTTGTGCATAAAGTTAGGCCTTGTGCCATAAATATGTGTTCGTTGCAGAGCAAAGCACAGGATTCATTTCTGTTTCTCTGCCTAGACCAGCAATCAATTTTTCTGGAAGACATTTCTTTATCATTCAAAGAAATAAATCTCACAAACATTGCAACAGGAGAAACAATGGCTGATGTAGCACAGGGAGCTGACAACACCTGCTGGATATTCCATATCCTCCAGAGAATTTACCATAACTAAACTTGTTGCTTTTCATCTGTGCGGTGTTGCAGAGGCACCAGGCTGCCAAATTTGCAAACTGACACGATAAATCCATTTTCTTCCTCTAAGGTCTAGCTCTATTACTGCTAATGTCATTGCATTTGACTTTAATGCCAGAAATATTTTCCAATAGGTTTGAACACCCTACCAAATTAGAGAGTAAGAGGACCAGGCCTTTGCACTTAATGCTACATAAAATTCCCTGAATTCACAAGTGCTTTTGCTTCATTCAGCTGCTGAAAAGGCTTTTGTTTAAGGCCCTGTGTCAGTAATCTAAAGGAAGCCAGAAATTTGTTCTGTACTACCTGATTTCTTTCAGACATTAGGAAGTCCAGTTTTCCACCAGGAAGTCCCAGTTCTATAAAAGTCTTTACCAGGCGCAGATCTGCACTGTTACCTGGGAATAAAAGGTACTTTATAAGATGCAATCCAGCAGAAAACTGACGAGTATAGAGTCAATTTAACACAACAACCTTGACACCAGGGAGCTCTTGCTAAGTGCTGATAAGGTTACCACACCATGCATTGAAACAGTGGGAGAGTAAGAACACCCACATCCTGCCCCAGGTGGGCTGGACCTCGCTTGCTGCTGTGGGGAAAAAGGGGCATAGATCAGGCACAGAATAACTCTGCCCTCTATTTGCTGAACAATAGAGGTAGGACACAAAGACAACAAGCTGAGGTCTGTCCTTCCATCTTCACAGGTGGTGAGGACCCCAGGGACACCTCAGCGCATGTGTTGGGTTATAGGGCTGTACCTTCAGATGAAGAGTAGTCCACCTCTGTGTATTCACTATTAGAGATGGTGCTGAAACATTGTTAGGCTCCTAATATTTGGACAGATGCCTCATTCCATACTAGGAAATTAGAAAGTCTTCCAAAACATTTTTTGTTAGAAAAGTAGGTATGGCCACTTCACGAGGAGGACATTCCTGCCATTGAGATATTCAATGGCAAACAGCCAGTAAGTGTTTGTTTTCCATTTTTTTTAGATTTCGGTCTCTACCCCTCTTTCTCTGTAGCTTCAAGGTTAAAATCTACGCTTTTCCCATTAATACCAAGACTTTGACAAGAGAAAGTTCACATTTAACATAACTGTTTTCTGCTCAGAAAGCACACATGTAAAAAAATTCCAAGATCTGCTTCCTCTGCAGTGAATAATGATTTTTATTCTCCCGCTTTCTAACACCAGCGACTCACTTCCCTATAACAGTGTTTTGGGGAGTTAAATATTTTTTTCTCCTGCTGACATACTGCAAAACAACAAAGTATCTGTGGAAAGACAAAAGAAGTTACTGTAATGAACTTCTACTGTACAGAGGAGGACTGATATGCTTTGGTGTAAAATTCTGTTTAAACATAAGCAAGCAAAGGTTGCAGCACTTCATTTCTTAGCCCAAATATTTCATATTCTCCTGGGTCCTTTATTACAATGGACCAAATAGCATGATAAGGAATAAATACTTAGCTAAGACAAATACTTAGACTCTCCGTTCTTTCATACTTGCTGAACATCTGTCCTTTTTTTTTTTTAATTTACACCAAAATGACTTACAAAGAGTAATTCCTCCTGGCCTTACCATCCAACCCATGGACGCACACAACCAGGTGAATTCCATCTTCTAAATTTTCTTCCTCTTCCTCTGGTGGAAAATACGGGATATCAGAAGCTAGTACAGATAAGTCACTGTACAGAAATCCTTCAATCTTCATTTCTTTTTTAAATTTTTCTTTGGCCTGATAAAAACTGGAGAATACATTAATTAATCACAATAGAACTGGGTGTTCAACAACAAACCTTCAAACTAGAAATGAGAAGGCTTGTATTTGCAAGAAGTTATGTTTGTAGCTTTCAAGTAGAGACCTGGACACTCTTCTTTGTCTGTTAGGACTGAGAGAGATCAGGATGCAGGGAAGAAAGTCCGTTTCTGAGTAACTTGGTTAAATACAGGGAATAGCTAAAGTGCATTAGCACCTCACACATGCCAGAGGAATGAAAGAGTAGGGTAAAAATAATTTTCTGGTAGCTTGTAACAATGAGACTAAGATACAGAATTAGCAATTTTGCATCTTAATAATATCACTGGCCTTATAGGTAATGGAATACAAAATGTGTCATTTTGCTACCATCAGATGCATTTATAGTCAGGTAGCAGGTGTTCTCCTCCTTCCTCAGACTAGAGTTAAAAGATGCAACTCATATGGTAGATATTGGTTTGGTTTGGTTTGGTTTGGGGTTCTTTTAAAAACATTTAGTAGCATTTAGAGGAAGAGTAACTCAGTGCTCAGAGAATTAAACTAATCCCTTTCCTAATAAAGGTCTAAAATGTGACACCTGAATTCACCCTGAAGCATTCCACTGGCTGAAGATGACAAACTCTTCGGGTGGGCTTTTGACTTAGCAAAAGTTATCCAGAGCTTTTAGGAATTAATAGACACAACGTAAGTGTAGAATTAGGGAGAAAACTGGGATGAATCAAATTAGGAGACATAAAACTTCAAAGCTTGGGGACAGCTTAAGGCCACTTGATATAATTATAGTATCATTAAGGTTAGAAAAGACCTCTAAGATCAATGAGTCCAATAGTGAGCATTTACTTACATCAAGTCAACTAAATTTTAAGGGATATGAGAATGAAAAAACTAGCTTTTGGGTGATGGATGTGGAGGCCTTGGATTCACGTGCATGAACACATGCTTAAATGTTCTGTTTTACATATAAGAAACAAATTTTGTGCTTAAATTAAGCAGAACTTACAGCATTGTGTGCAAAACAAACCTCAAAATGCTTTCAAAAGAATAAAAAGAACCCCCTTGCCTTTCAAAGGAATGCACATGCAGGCAGCCAACATTTTGGAGGACTGAATGGGTTGACAAATTCCGATGTTACTGTTGGCACTCAACACAACAGAAACAGCAAAATATAATGGAAATGTACATGTGGTAGCATGCCAATCTGTTCAGTGGGCCCCTGGGACATCAAAGTCATGGTGTGGCACTTGTACATTGGGCAATGAAGCCAAAACCAATAATAATTCCTCTTCTCCAGATATCCATGGTTTCCATTGTCCCCTTTTTCCAGTTTGAGAAGCTGAAACTGAGACCTACCAACCAATCTGTGCTCCCATTTCAGAGTTAAGCTAATGAGTGCAATTACTGAAGCAGAAGAGAAAAATAAATCTATAGCAGATCTATAGTGTACTGACTGTCTGGGGTTGATATCAGGTATGGGTAGCCTTGATTTCATGAAGGAGGGTCAGATCTTAAAGATTATTTAGACACCAAAATCCCACTCCTTTTCATGACAATTAAGGACCTGTTGTCTTTGACAATCTTGGTCTCTCTGTGTTTTCATCTGTCTATTTAGATAATTCTATTTAGATAATTCATTCTATACAAACCATTTGTCTATTTGGATTATTTATACTGAAATTCCTCCGGCAACTGTCTCAAGCGCAAGATTGCTGTGTGCCTAGTGTACTAGGGTCCTGAACTTTGCTGGGGTCTCTTGGCATTACAGTTACATTAGTGAAGTAATAAGACATTCTTACTTCAGCATTCTTTCGTTCGTCTCTTCATCCACCTCATCAGAATTAGAAGAGACAACTCCGAAGGAGCCCAGGGGCTGGCGCGTGATAGGGATCACAGCCTGCTTTGCAGAGAAGCCGACCATGGCGGGGGTCTCTTTGAGCACGGAAGAGAAGGGAAGACACGTGGCTGTGCAAGAGACTGACAGGTTAACCACATCAGCAGCCTTTCTGCTTTCCAGGGCTACTCCCTCCGTCACTGCCAAAGGAAACCCGGTGCCGTTCGCTACAAGTTTATGCTCTTGGCTGTTGGGTTCCTGAGGATGTTCAGCCTGGTAGGACCCTGCTGCAGGGTCTGCTGGGGCAGGTGAGTCATTGAGTTCTATTTCTTGTAACACCTGCATTTCTGCACACACTGCTGGGCTCTCATCAGCAAGAGAGCTGCCATACTCTCCTTGCAGTGAGTCAAATTCAGTGGAGGTCTCTGACGGAGCTGTAATGGGATAGCACAAATCTGGTACCACCTTTACACTTTGAGAGAAACTCTCCTCTCCTGAAATTCTGCTATTGCAGAAGCCCTGTTGTATTTTTAATTTGTCCAGCTTAAGTTTATCCTTTGGATCCTCAATGAATGTATCGAACTTATCTATATTTTGGTCCAAGTAATTACAAGCCCTTGGTGTTTTTAAGCTGCACTCACCATTGCTCTCCAGTGACTGGCTCTCAGAGACATTATCTTGGAGCTGCTTTGGACAAAGAGGTGGTCTTGCATTTTCCAAACTACAGCAAGTCTCTGGAAAACCTTTCTCCTCCTCCCCTTGTAACTCAGTGTTACTGCTACTGTGTTTGAGAGGGAGTTTGGGATGTTGTCTTGGCTCTATTTGTCCACTTTCAGTGGTGATTTGACACTCAGAAGAGTCAATGATTAATTTCCCATCTTCACCCTCTGTTTCCATGCAGCTTTTTGGGTTTTGGTCTCCTGAGGTTGCCTCACCATGTTTGGATATATCCACCTCCTCTGTGGGCTCTTCTGGGCTACTGATCTGAGGAGCTGAGACAGATTTTGTCAGTTTGGTGAGCTCCACTTCCCGCTCCTCTTCCTCAAAAGGCAAAGAGCTGATGGATGTGAGCGATGCTTGGATCCCACTGGGCAAGCTGGTGTTGCTTTCCGTGTGTCCGCCCTCCAGGGAGTTCCGGTGGATGGCGTGCCTCCGGACCAAGGGGTGCAGGATCTCTCGATCACTGGGCAGCTCCAGCGCCCGACTCCGAGCATCAGACCACGCCACTGAGCTTGGTTCACTTTCAATGCCTGAATCAGATATTATAGAGGAAGATCTTTTAATGACCCCTGTCATGAGGGTAAACTCTTCGCTCTCCTCACTTCGTTGCTCCTTTGTGAGCAATTTCGCTTCAAAGCAGTGTGAGGGCAAAGGTTTCAAAACAGGGAGATGAGCCTTGGTGTCAGGATCTTCTGGTTTTTCAAGACTGGTCAAATCATTCAGTGCAAGTTCAGATGAAGTGAAATTATTCTCAGGATGACCAGATTCATCTATTTCATGTATTTCAGTCCTGTCTTCTGAGCCATCAGTTCCACATGCTCCACACTCATACTGACCACTGACAATTAACACAGGCTCACTTTTGTGAGAGTCCTTATTGCTAGGTTTTGTGTCTCCACAAGTAACATCTGCCCCAAGTCTATTATCTTTTAATAAAACTTCCTTGGGTGTTTCAAAGTCTCCTGACATGTGTTCTGTATTGCCTGACTCTGAGTCAGAAATAGTTTCCCTTCTTGAAACAAAAATATTTTCAGATTTCCTTTGGCCTTCTTTGTTCGCTGTATATACCTGAGATGTGGAGTGCTGGTTTGAACCCTCAGCAGCACCTTCAGTACTGCTGTATAAGCATGAGGGATTCCTGTTTATCCTGTCATGTATTAGTGGAATACCTTTCCCAAAGTCTCCTTTCATTACTGCAGTGGCATCATTTGATGCACAGTCTTCATTTTCATTTATTACATCCATTTGAGCATTTGCAGGAACCTCAAAATCTGAGAAAACTTCCAAATTCTGATCTGAAAGAAAAAAAGAAAAAAAAAAAGATAGCAGTAGTACCTGTAAGAACACAATAAATTACACCAAAGTCATATGGGACTTTTAAAAGTGATTTTAAGGCCTAAAAAATTATCCTATATATATTTATATTATGTAAATTATACATACATTACAGGCAGATTATAATGCACATGTCAGAGTGCATTTAACTAGAATTGTACTCACTGAACAGTTATTGTTAGGTCAAAGAAGACATTATCAATAAAATACATTTTCCTCAGTACACCCATACATAAACTCTTATTTTATAAAGCACAGCTTAGTGAAATAAAACTGATACTTCTTTGTATTCCTGTTGTCATTTGACATTGTTCACAGTATAGCTCTTACTTTTGAAGAAGTTTAATACTCAGTTTAAGAGTTTAAATATCTATAATGAGCAGTGTCAAAATTTAGGCAGTAGAATAACTGTGGAAGAGTAGAAATTTTGTACCACAGGTTATGTTCATTAGACCATGGTCACCTATAATATTAATTCATATTGCTTCCTTGTTAATCTTAATGGTCGAGTTAAAAGAAAAAATTACTAAAGTCTGAGGTTTTACTAAAAAATTAACATAGCTAAATAGTTTCTTAATTAAAAATTTTGATTTGGATAATCAAGGGCAAAATATTTTTGGAAGTCAATACTGCCTTTCAGGAAAGTGTTGGGATTCACAATGAAATTGTGGTTTTTTGTTCTGAGATTTCTTACCACTAGATGTCACAGTGGGGATAACAGTCATAGTGTTTTTCCTTTAAATTTGTACTATAACAAAAATCCAAACAATGTGGTTTTCTTTCTAGATTTCGCCTCCAGCTCTTTTAACAAAACAGCTTACTTTGAAGATGAAAAATATGAAGGAAATACTCTAGTTTTCTATTATGGAAAACAGAAGAATTCAGATGAATTACTTAGGGAGTCACACTCTCTTCCAAGATCACCAGCACAAGGGATGTGAGATGACTTATCTCAAGCTGGAACAGCAAAACTCCCTCAGTTCAAGCTGTCCCAGGAAGCTGCACCTTGTGGTGTTTCACTCACCTTTGCAAGGCATATCCATGTACCTGTCTTCAAAGATAACTGGGAGAGTGTTCCAGTCCCCGTCGATGTCGAGGCATTCTGCCGGCAGCGGGGGCATGCTGGTGAAATACTCCGAGTTACGAATTTCTGTAGAAATCTGTGCGTGGCTTTGGATCCTGGCAGTAAAGTACAAAACAAATTGAGGGTTTGAGTAGTTACTGTGCTGCCTCTCCATCACTCCTGCAAGCCCCAATATGAAGGCAGAGGACAGAGTCAATGTCCTTAAAGGGAGAGGGAAGACGCGTGATGGGAGATACCCAACATTCCTAGGACAATTCGATCTCTCAGTAAGAAATAGCTGCAACTTGCACAATCCCTTATTGAAGACCTCAGCATTTTTGAAACTATTCCAGCTGCCACTGCCACAGGCTCCTGTTAGCTGCCATAAACCATTGCTGTCCTCCCAGGGGTCACAGTTGCTGACTGGGACTGGATCACTCAGCTGGTTTCCCGGTCAGGAAACAAGGTCTGTCACTCTGGCTAAAGTCAGGGTTTCAAAACCCAGATGCAGGAAGCAATAATCGAAAATTTGGTTGAGCAGTACAGGGAGGAACAAAGCCAAGGAGATGCATGGCAGGTCCTCTGTCTCACTTGTACCAGACTTCAGAGCACTGTGGTATCTCACACACATACACATCTGAAAGAGCTAAGATGCCACTGTCTGTTGGTAGAGCTAGAGTTATAGAATCATAGAATGATTTGGGTTGGAAGGGACATTAAAGATCAACCAGTTCCAAACCCCTTGTCATGGACATGGATACCTTCCACTAGATCAGGTTGCTCAGGCTAGCCTTAAACAAGTCCAGAGACAGGACATCCTGAACTTCTCTGAACAACTTATTTCAGTGCCTCACCACTTTCACACTAAAGAATTTCCTCCTCCTATCTAATCTAAACCTACTCTCTTTCAGTTGGAAGCCTCTCCCCCTTGTCCCATTCCTACATGCCCTTGTAAAAAGTCCCTCTTCAGCTTTCTTGTAGGTCCCTGTCTGTTTCTATCATTTGGGCCACACAAAGTGCTACCAGGCTCTCATCAGTTAAAACTGGAACAGGAATGTGTGTTCAGCTATGGTAAATACAATAATTTTTAGTCCTGATGAGCTTTCTTATTTAAACATCTGTCTCAAAAACAATAGGGACGCATCAAATACAAAGAAGAAGGCAACAAGCTTGATGGTCAGCTGAAAGTAAGTCTGCACAGATCCCATAGGACAACACAGTGGCAATACTTCAGATTAGCATTGGCAAAAGGCAGGTTATCATGTGGTAGTTAACTGTAAAAATGCACTTTACACATTTTGAACCAAAACTCATACAGCAGGTGTGTAATTCATGCCAGAATGGAAGATTCCTATGTCCAGACACAAATAATTCATTCAGAGCAGCATATCCGCTCCAACTTCAGATCATAATTATTGCTATCTATCATTTTTTCTTCTTGACAGGTAATTTTTTCCTCGGAGATAAACAAGTCATTGGTTGCTAAAACATGACTCAGATAGGAGCCTCAAACAGCCAACTGATCAGTCTTGCTGGCAGTAACACCTGGGTGTTTGGAGTTAACTCTTAGCACCATGATAACTTTATCACTGACATGTTAATTAATAGAATCATAGAATGATTTGGGTTGGAAGGGAACTTAAAGATCATCTAGTTCCAACCCCCTGCCACTGGCAGGAACACCAGACCAGGTTGCTCAGAGCCCCACCCAGCCTTGAACGCTTCCAGGGATGAGGCATCCACAACTTCTGGCCTTGAACACTTCCAGGGATGAGGCATCCACAACTTCTCTAGTAACCTGTTCCAGTGCCTAAACACCCTCACATGGAAGAATTTCTTCCTAATATCTAATTTGAAATTACTGTCCTTCATCTTAAAGCCATTACCCCGTCTGATTATTACATGCCCTTGTGAAAAAGATGAATAATTGTTATTAAAAGGAGTGAAGAAAAGCATTTTTGTCTGTAAATGGAGGGAGGATATACCACCTGACAGATACCTCCACACTGGGCCATACCCAGCATACTGGAAATGGTGTGTCCTCTTCAGTCTAACCAGTCAAATGCTATCAGACATGTAGGTGCACGGCCTCACACAAACTCATAACAGTATAGGAGGCAAAAACCAGCTCTTGTGTAGTAAGAAGGAAGAAAGAACTGAGGGACTAAACTGTTACTGCTTGAGGTGGTTGTACAGGACCTGGCACACTGAGCACCGATCTCAGCTGGAGACTTTGTGAGTCCAATTAATACTCGCTACTGCCACCCACAACATTAATAATACTCTGACAGTTAAGACTGTTTTTCCAGCTCTATCATCTAGCAAATTCAAAAAGAAAACATGACTCTGCCACAAGGCCTGTATAGACTAAATTTGCTACACAGACCAATTTTTAATTTTTTTAACTATTTTACTTTTTTTTTTACTCAGTCTCCTTGATAATCATTAAGAAAAACACTATGTTTATATGTAGGAAATAGGCTAGTTCTGTGGCTGCCTGGAGAAATAAAAGCACTTCATGCAATTAGGCTTCCTCCTGTGCAGGGTTATGTTTCTTTGAATGGGGCCATAAGTGTCTGTGCCTTCACCCCAGGATCTTGACATGGGGATTTTCCTTGTACACAGCTCAATAAAATCCTGACGTGGGAGAACCAAGTGAAGCAGCTGGGCACCTGCAGCCCTGTTGCTGCTCTAACTTGGCAGAACAAGGTAGCCTGGTACCACTCACCCACTAATGAAGTCATGGCCCTTTCCATCGACACTGAATCAGTCTTAATGTCCTCAGTGACAGCTGTGAGAAAGCAATTTTCTTCTTTGCACTGGGTCAGAAGCAAATGGCTCACTTAAGGCTCATAATCATGACAGGACCTGATGTCATGACCTTTAAACCCTTTCTGAAAGATGGGTTTGCACACTGGCAGTGCTATGGTCCCTCCATGCTGACAGGCTGTTTCAGCAGACAAATAGTCTGGACATTCCTCATTACTCAGAAATTCAAATCTGAGCATCTTTGAACTCTGCCTTCAAGGGTCAGGTCCTGAGTATTGTCCATGTGCTCCACTTGGGATCATTGGCTAAAACTAAAGGCAAAATTTGCCCAGGTGCAGGTTTAAAACTGGCTCTACATGCTCCCCTACTTGGTTGCAAGCAAGAAATGTCCAGCAGAGGGAAATACTTACATTGCCAATGTTTTAGGGCATATTTTTATGAATGCAACCCAGTTCAACATTTGTTTTTCTTGTCTGTTTTTTACAGTTGGTTCTTGACCAATTCATTAACAGCCCTGAACTCATATCACACCCATGTTTTCTCCTGTTAATATAGTGGTATTCCCCATTCCTGCCCTCCACTGCTGCATCTACTGAACATCCACAGCTTTGCATTGGCTGTGGATCCTTTCTGCTATAGAAAATAGGGCTGGACTAAACACTAAAAGAAATCCATGACTATCTACCCCAAAAATGTATATTAGGGATCATAGAGAGAAAATCTGTAAATTTTAAGATTTATTTCTTCCCAGTAGTTCCCATTAAACTACCTGTGCTGGATCTGGTGCATTTGGTTCAGGAATTTAATTGAAGAAAGGGATATATATATATATGTGTGTGTGTGTGTGTGTGTGTGTGTGTCTGTGTGTGTGTGTGTGTGTGAAGCTTGAAGTTAATTCTTTCTGGGTCCTGATCAGAGTCACTTACTTTTGAAACTCATTTCAATGGTTTTACAGTATGGAGCTAAAGCAGAGCTAGTGACTTCTCTCAAACCAAACTCCTCCATATCCAGCAGAAAAAGACCTCAGTCTTGACTGTGAAATGTTTTAAAGTAAATTTTCAATCATTCCAGTGACAGGGGAGGGTTAATGGGTTACTTACAGGCCTTCCTGGAATGTGAGCACAGCAGGTTTCTGGTGCTCAGTGTAGAAGAAGGCTTCTGAGAATCTCCTCACCTGAGAGGGAGAGACACACAAGTTAAATAAAAGATCTGCTGAAAGATGCCAAGTACCACAAGTCCAATAACAAAACAGTGACTGTCAGGACCAGATTCCTCAGCGTGGTAGCATCATTCTGTTGACAGAAAAAAACAAAGAGTTCAATTCTGCTTCACTTCCCTAGTCTGGCACAGAACAGGTGGTGCTGCTGCATATTTTGCTGTGAGGTAAGAAGTGTCCTTTGACAATAAATCAAAATTTGGTTATCTACATCTTCTACTACTTTTCTAAAAGCTGTGAAATTTACCATTTCCCCTCATATTCTTAAAGTGGGGAAAATTTCTTCCTTTCCAAATTATACAGCATTAGTCGAGCAACTAACTAAATTAGAACAATTGATTGTCTCTTCTATGGGAATATCTGCAGTCACTCACAGTGAGTTTCAAACCACCAAGACAGCAAAGGAAGTCATACATATTAGTCCAGAGGAGAATAAGCCCTATCATTGCAGAAGCACAGCTACCTATGTCATGATACAAAATGAGAGCTCTTCAAACCCCTTCATGGGCATTAGATCTGTTCAGTGCTGGATAATCAATTACGAAAGAGCCATGGATCTGAAGTGGCTGGCAGAGCACAGAGTGTGAAATAAGCTATAAAAAACTCAGTGCTGTCATCTGCCCTGGAATAAGCTTTGAGTTTAAATGAATCAAGCATAATATGCAATCAAATGTACTGAGCAGTTAAACTGCAGCCCATACATTCTTAATAGTAATTGTAAAAGTGACCTCTGTTACAGTGACAGAAAATGGCAGAAAAAAACATATGTCACAGCATCTCAGCATCTCCCTAAACCCCAGCTGTGCTTTAACAAATGGCCTTTCTGAAAAAAAGGACTAATATCCCTTAAAAAAAACTGTATCTTAATAGTAGGAATTTTCATCTAGGGCTCTTAAACTGTTTTCCAGAGGTGGAAAAGTATAATTACACACAGTTTATATTGGAAGGAACAATTTATGTGGAGCATACAAGGGTATGTAATTTGACAAAGGTCAAGCAGGCAGTAGGCAACAGTGGAAGAAACCACAGGCTGGGATTCACCTTGCTGGAGCTGGGAGCATATAGAGTTGGGTCCTTTGGCTGAAAGGCACCCAGGGCCTCTCAAAGTCAAGGGAGACCTAGTCAGACTAACCAGGGGAGTTTCAGCATAAGGCACTCGTTCACCTCTTCCTGAATTTTATGCCACACTTTTGCAAGCTCAGCCATGCTCCTGGGGAGAGAAACTGGAGGTTTGTTCTGGTCACTCTGGAGAGTCAGCAGACCTCCAGTGACTTTGACAGGAGCAAAAACGTAAGCTGAGATGTCAATACTTCATTATATGCTTCTAAAGCTAAGCAAGGTGAATCCCACCCTTTTCTCTACTGATTAGATCAGACTGAGTTCAGCTCAGGGGATGTGCTGAACTGATGTCTGGTCAATAACCAAGAACGTCCTAATGGAGGACAAAGCACTTGCTGAACTAATCAGACAAGCAGATCTGACAATATTAACTCAAATCACAAGTGCTTTTGTGCCTTCTTTATTACCAAGTACAAGAAGAAATTTCAACATCAGCAATATTAGTATTTTGTTGTGTGCACCTCACTGGAAGAAAGGCAAATAGCTATATATAAAAATATATATGTGACAAAGAGAAGAGAACAAATTTATATTCCTCGTGGCAGTTTTGTGAAAGTAGTTGAGATAAAATCATATTTTTTGTTATTTGTCACTTTAATGTTTGTGGCTTCTAAAACAAATGTTTATGATTTATGGATATCTGACAAGTACAGGTGATATCTACCTCTTCCCACCCACCTCGTTTTCTATGTCTGATGCTGATGCTTGAAGTGCACTCATTTTAGATAGAATACTAGGTTACACAAAGGCAACAGCATTCATTCCAGAAATTGAAATCTGTAATTTCAAATCCTGGGCTTCACCTCTTGTCCTGCTTATCCCATTTCACATAAATACTCATAGAGGCAGAATTGCATTGGAAATATACATTTAGATAAAGTATTAATGCCTGTTAGGTGATGACCATTACTGAACTTGCTTAACATTACCCTTAGCATGTGATGTTCCTGAGTCAGATAAGCTGTGACTTCTGGATGGAGCGTTGCCACCTCTAGGAACTGGGTCCACAGGGCCAGGAGGTGAGAACAAAGCCAGGCAAGGTCCTTGCTTATCTGTTCTGCTATCTTTTCTGGATTGCTCAGCAGCTGGAGGAAAGAAAGGAAATTCTGACATCAAGACAGTGCTATGAAAAAGAATCAGTTCCTATGTCGGATTAAGTCCTTTTAAGAACAACAGCAATAACAAAAATTCCTCTTGATTTAGTAGTAGTATTATTAAAGCTACCATTTTGAGTTATTTTACTCCAAATAAATCTGGTGACGCTTTTTCTTTTACTCTTTAAAAGCCATATATTTTAGTGCAAAGGTTCTTAGTTACCCAGTTGGAGAGCAAGAAGTGAGAACAGACTCAGTCTTTGCAGACACTTTACTCAGACGTAGTAACCAAGGGAAAAAAAAAAATAAAGAATGTGGGTTCCAAATTATCCACCAGATGGTGCTGGATGCTCTGAAATACTAAACCACGGCCCGGTTCTCTTAGCAAAACGAGCCCTCTCAGCCATGTCACATTAGGATACCAGATGGGCAACTGGGGAGGAAATGAACAACAAACCCAAACCCAAACCACTGTGTCCTCAACACATGATGAAAACAGACATCTCAAGAGTCTGCTGTTGCTTCTCTCTCACACTAACACATGCTGGGACCCTGAGTGCCCTCCAGCGCTGGGCTGCAATTCTGTGCTAAAGCTTTGCAGTGAGAAAGTTCGTGCTGGCAGCAAAGTCTCTGCACATCAGGCTTCCTGTTTCACAATTTTCTAGAATCACAGAGTCATAGAATGGGTTTGGTTAAAGATCATCTCCTTCCAACCCTCCTGCTGAGTGCAGGGCCACCTTCCACTAGACCAGGTTGCTCAGAGCCTCAGCAAACCTGGCCTTGAGCACTTCCGGGGATGAGGCATCCAGAACTTCTCTGGGCAACTTGTGCTAGTGTCTCACCACTCTCACAGTAAAGAATTTCTACCTAATGTCTAATCTAAACCGGCCCTCTGTCAGTTTAATGTCATATCCCCTTGTCCTATCACTACATACCACTGTAAAAAGTCCCTCTCCGGCTCTTTTGCAACCCTTTTAGTTACGGGAAGGTGCTAAAAGGTCTCCTGGGAGTTTTCTCTTCCCTAGGCCCAAAAACCCCAACTCTCTCAATTTGTGTTTATAATTGTTAATGTAAGGAGAGACAGAAATTGCATTTTATCTCCATGTTTCGGCACAGAGAGAACAGATCTGAGCCTTCATCTATTCCCAGGGTCCCTACATGTTTCCATGAAACCATTAATAACACCAGAAATACTCCAGAAATAATACCAAATATCACAATCAGCTCTTCACCAGGTCTTTCTTTCAGTTAGAACTGCAATCCAGCTGAAAGCCTGTTATTTTCACATTTTATTATACAGATAGTTTTCAGATTTATGACACTGAAAACTAAACCACGAAAAAACAAATTGTCTGCGTGTGAGAAAAGCAGAGAAAATTTGTGTGTTGATAACACAGATGTTGTCACTATGTTTATATTGTCTGGATGCTATTCTATTTCAAAAACTAGTCCAAAATGGCACAAGCTCATTCGGGTACCAGAAAAATCAGGGAGATACTGGGAAACAAAACATTCTGCCCAAACGTTTCCATTTGCAGAGTCAGGGAACTACTTTATTTATGGCACCCAATTTTATATGCTGTGATTCAGTGTTAATTTTTAATTTTTTTTAGCCACTTTCTTACATCATAAACTGAAATCTCAGTCTTCAAGGAAGATACATTATTAATGCAAGTCATTTTAGGAATAGTTTTGTGATGGCTATTTTTCAAGTTTATTGGTTCTTAAACTTTTGAATGTATCAGAGAGGAAGGAAGGAAGGAAGGAAGGAAGGAAGGAAGGAAGGGAGGAAGGAAAAGACAATGCCTGTTTCTGTTCCCATGGGAGTTAGGTGCTGAAAAAATCTCCCGGAGCAGTTAATTAGGGGTGAGATAAGAAAGGGTTTATTATGCCAAGGCAAAGATGTTACAAGATGCCCGCAGGCCGTGCCTGAGATGTTACATTTTATAATACCATCCATCCAATCCCAAACGTGTCCACCCTGTGGCCTTTACTCTGGACTGTCCCAGGTCTGAGGTGTGTTTCAGGACCCTCTGTTCATCCCATCTTCATCTTCATCAGAGCAAAAAGGGTACATAGTCACCCAGTTTTTGACCATGTTCTGTGGTTTAGGCCAAGATACAAACATTCTCCAAACAATCTGGGCCTTGCCTTGACAAAAGACTAAACATTTCTGCTGTATTTGGGGGTAGGAGTGATATAGGGAGCATAGGATGGGGTAAGAGGGTTAAGGAACGTGTAAACTAAGGGTGCTAGAGGGAAAGGGACAAGGGAGGGAGTGAGGGATGCTGCTTTTAGAGTCTACTTCCACTACTTATAAAACTCACAAGTATTAGAAAAATAAAAAAAAAAACATTAGGGGCTTAAGGTATCATTCCACTGCAGTGCTACACACAGGTCAAATCCCAGGGACTCAGTTTCTCAGACTAAAATCCAGCAATTAAAAAGATCACCAGCTGTGACTTACTCCATCCACACATCTGTTGTCAGTCTGTGCCCTGTGCTGCATCTTTCAAAACCCACACTGGTGGACAGTCTGGTTTTAACAATGCTGTCACACAAAACAAATTAACAGGGCTTTTTGAGGAGTTATTTTTCCTTGTTTGTTTATAAATCAATCACACAATTGAAAAACTATTTCCCTTCCACTTTCTCCCGCATTGAGTATCTGCTGTGCTCTTGAGTTGAATACAAAGTCATGGCAGGTTAAACTCACTTTTTTTTCTTCTTCCTTTTTTTTTTTTTTTTAATTTAATTTTAAAAATGGACCTGGCTCTGGTAACACAGTGGTAATGGGAGACTAACCCCACAGGCCTCTCTCTGTATGGGTTCTAATAGCTTTTTCTTCCTTTATAAATGACTGTTTTTTTATGTTCTACTGAAAAAAAAAATGGTTTCAGTTCACATATCCCTAGAGGCAAAATACTGGGAGAGCTTTGCAATACTAATCTGTACAGCACAGAGGTACATGCACTGACACTGCAGTGATGGTCAGGGCTGCACCTATGTCCTACCAGTATTGTGCAAGGTCTCAACCTCTGTATCAAGTCCCTGCATACTCACTGTCTTTATAATCAAATAGATACATAGAAAGCTGTCATCCTATGATTCTAAGGCAAAACATTTTCCAGCATACAGGAAAACCTATAGAACCGGCTGTTCTGGCTGTTTTGTTTCCCTATCTGTTGCCACACTTTCCTCGTCAGATTTCAAGCACCAGTCAAAGCAGACTGGTTTTATTAATATTGCCATGCAAAACAAGTCAATAAGATCTCAGGAAGAAAAATTGCACAGGAAGTAGAAAATACAGAGAAATTAATGATGCCATTTTCTGATGTATGCCAAGGCAAATTGGACTTTCACAGACTCATAGAAAATCAGTCCAGAGGAGACTCTAGATTGTGTTGTCTGTCCTATACTCTTACAGCTTCTAAATCTAGTAAAGTTGAGCCCAATAACTTATGTTTTTGTAAATCAATTTTATATGAAATGAGATTTCTTGAAAAGTATCCAAGTTAGGACTTAAAACTAATAAATTTTTAATTTCAAACAGTTTTTAAGTCATGGGTGACAAACATTACCCCACATTTTGTAACAGGAGTGTAAATGGACTTCCTGTTAGGTTTGGACTCATCTTCCTCCTTCGTTATCAAATTCAGTTCCCTGGGAAAGTGGTGGAGTTAACAAAACAGGAATTGTTCAAAAAATGAGTAGATGTGGCACTCTGTGATATGGTTTACTGGGTATGGTGATATTTGGTCAGAGGTTGAACTTGATGATCTTGGAGGTCCTTCCTAATCTTAATGATTCTATGGTTCTATGATAAATAATATCTATTAAATGTCTGATTCTAAAACACTTTTTCCAGTGATCAGCTGGTGCTTGCATTCCTCCCTGTCACCCTTGATGACTTGTCTATGTCTCACTTGAAATAAACTTGGCAGAAAGCAAGTTCAAGAGAGTAGTTCAGTCACTTCTGTGCCAAAATAACTTTTTTACTCCCATGAGCCTTCTTGACTTTTAGGTATTTTTATTTGAAAAGATATGGTTTTACAACCTGCCAAGGCATCTTTTCTCCTGTCAGCAGAAAAACTGTAATTGCAACCTACCCCAAATAATTTTTTTCTTCATACTGATACTCAGGACTAGGCTCACTGAAGGATGTTAGAGTAATCCAGCTGGTGACTTGTTAAAAGTGACAGGAACACCTTGTACGTGACTAATCAAAATGATGTGAAATAATTGGTGGAAGAGAAACAAACTTTCTAATGGCACCAAACTTCCTTTCTCCCAGCTCTGATATGTGAGTGGCCTGTCTCAGTGCACTTGAAAAATGGACCTGAAAAACCTATGGGCAGATTCTGCTGAAGAAAATACCTGCAGCTCCATACAAAGCTGGGACAACGTCTCTTCCACAGATAGCTCCTCTGGGGAAAAAAACACAAAGAAAGAGATCAGGTTTGAGAACAGCAGACGTGAGATGTTAATGCTCTGGTGTTTATTCATGTGAGGTCAATTTATGACCTCATGTTTATTCATGAGGTCAATTGTCACTTGCCTGACAGGCAAGTTCCTATTTGGACCTGGGCACTCCACAACCCACCTTGTACTGATGCAGGTGCAACTTCTGCTCATGAAACCTAGACCACTAGACCAGTAGAAGTTGTTGTTGTGAAGACAAAGACAACAGAATTTGGCTTTTTTGGCTTTTCATTGCCTACTCTCTCTTTTGCTAGGAGTTTTCTTATTAGCCTTTGGTATTTATGACCAACTGCAGAACTGAATGCAAAGTCTGAGCAAATGACGTGCAAAAAGTGGTGATTCCTGGTATGTTACAAAGGACTGTGTAGCGATACCAGATGCCTGACTAGTAAAAGACTGGGCATCTCTGCACTGCCTTGGGAAGTTTGAGGCACCTCATTACTACATCACGGAGCAGTGTTTTGATGCAGTCCTGAGAGAATCCAGCACAGGGACACACCACTTTAAATTCACCGTGGACTATAAGGCAAAGAAGGACATCAATCAACTCTGTAACTTTGGCAGCTTGATTTTGCAATGCGGAACTTTCTAACAGTATCCGTGAAAAAACAAGGCAGGAACAAGGCAGAACAACTAACAAGCCAATCCCCTGCCCAGTCCCCAAATGATTCTTCTGAAATAGTACTAATAAATGGGAAAAGACAGGCCAAGATCAGAGCACCTTGAAAAGACCTAATCTTAGCTGGTAAAATTTGGGAAATAATTGTTACCCTTTTTAATGTCTAAACTAAGATTTTTTTTTTTTTAATATACTACTCAGGGAGCTAGGAAAAAAATAATTAAGGACGTGTGTAGAGATTTATAGTCTTGGATTTGTCCTAAACTTCTGTAGAAACCTATGATGAGATTATTCTGACCAATACAGCAGTTACAGCTGAGTCATTTACATTTTTCCCCTAGTCAGTGGATAAATATAGCAATTACAAGGTGCATTTCATGTCATCCCAAAAGTAGAAAGCATTACCTATCTTAGATAACATATTTTTAAATGGGCCTGTTTCACCCCAATAGTTGCAAGAAGACAGATATAAAAATTTGATTTACGTTCATCTCTCTGCATGAATCTTACACCCCATGATTTTATTGAGTTTTCCAACAGGTGTCAGAAGATCAGCCTTAAAATCAAATCTTCAGTAGGTTTTCAGACTGTGAATAAAATGATACAAATAGCACTCTGCTCAAGAGGCTAAAAAGGGTATTTGCATTTAGCAAATTTGCATGTGTTGCAAGAAGTACATTTGCAAATGCAGTGCCTGTCACAGTACCAGTAATCATTTGAAATCCAAGCAAATTTTATTTAGAAAACCTGTCTGTGCTCTAGGGCAGTTCTGGAGTTGTGGTCAAGCAACGAAACATAACTCTTACATCTCCCAACCTATAACCCTGCCTGAGTGAGCCACAAATCTTTTATTATATGTGCCTGATAATCCAGATGCATGAAGCAAGAGTTTTGTTTCATGTTGTATTCTGTCTGAGAGCTAATAAATTCCAAATTAAAATGCTGTAATTTTTTTCCTCTTGTAGCTGTATTGAGTAACACATTATGTGCTCTTACCAACCTATCTATGACTTTCAGGCTACCTTGAAGGGAAATATACGTTGGGAAACAAGACATGGAGTGGAAAATAGGAGCTATCAAGTCCATAAGTGTGTGAAGCATAATGCATTGTGTTTGATGGTTCTTGTATACAAGCACTATACTGGAAAATGCATTTTACTCCCTTTTAAAACCTGCTGGCCAATGCAATTGACCCTCCTAATGTAATTATCTCTGCAACATAACAAACTGATAATTCAAAACCTGCACACAGAAACACAACGGCTCAAAAATGCAGATGTGAAATTATGGGTCACAGTTCTTGAATTCAAAGAAACAGGTGGGAGAGCAGGAATGAGTCAGGAATGTCTCTCATTTGCATAGGAGCTCATGCTGTCATTACAAAGATGACTAAACACAAATTGCAGAGCTCCATGCAGCAAATCCAGCCAGCATTTTCACATTGGACCTAACAGGCCTGACCAGCCAAAAAAATCTTCTGCCAAAACCAGAAAATCTATTAAACAATTGAATTAGGAAGCAAATCAGAATAATTTTGAAAAGCAAGATGTAATTGGCAGGGGAGAAATACATTGTGAGTTATAAAGAAAAGAATATTATTCAAAACCACTCATATCACCTTTCAGATTTTTCTTTTCAATTTTATAAAAATGTTTACTCAGGAAAAAAATTATGTTAAAGTCTTCCCTAGATTTCATGGACATTCAGAACTGGAATTTCCACTTTTCAAAATGTAACTGAGGCCAAAAATCACTGAAAGGCAAGTATTTTGAGAAATTTATCAAAATATTTTCTCCCTCTACACATTAGGCCACATCCTATAAAAGGATCCATCTAAGCTGAGGATTTATTTTGACAGTGTGCCAAAATAAATACTAATCAGAAAATAGAGATGAAAATCCTTTTAATTCTCTAAACAACCCAAGAATTTTGGTACTGAAATGCATGTTGATAATGCAGCACTGTAAAATATTCAGTGATTTTAAATGTCTGTTCACTTACCCAACTTCAGCTGTGGTAAATCAGGAATCTCATTCATTATGAGGGTGTAATACGTGTGAAGTCCTCTTTGAGCATTCAGGAGCAGAAGACAGAGGTCCTTATGCCATTTGTATGCATGCTGCATGCAGTTTTCAGATGGGACATAAAAGCTGCCCTGCGAAGCAAAAATATCAAGAAAATAAAATACAGAGATTAAAATTCATGGTCTCAACTTGTGCTAGAGGTTTCCACAAAACCCCAGTTATGGAGAGCCTTTCATTTCTTTTTACAAGGGTGTATAGTGATAGAACAAGGGGTAATGGCTTTAAACTAAAAGATATTGGATATTAGGAAGAAACTATTTACTGTGAGGGTGTTGAGGGACTGAAACAGGTTGCCCAGAGAAGTTGCGGCTGCCCCATCCCTGAAGTGTTCACGGCCAGGGTGGATGGGGCTTGAAGCAACCTGGCCCATGTCAGGGGGTTTGGAACTAGATAGTCTTTAAGGTCCCTTCCAACCATTCTGATTCTGTGGTTCTGTGGTTCTATAGTTCTAATAAAGCAGATGGCCACAAAGAGAGATTTTAACCATCCCAACCTCCCAGTCACCTAACTAGCTAGATGTGTTATCCAATAGTATCTAATTCCACACATTAATTTTGCCCAAACCATAACAAAACTATTAGGTCCCAGTAATGTTGCCACATGAAAAGACCCTCAGAGCAAACAGTCCAACAGAGAAATCTATCTCTGTCCATCACACATGTCCCACTGTGGAGCCAATGTCTCTCCTCATAACACACCCTCTCTGGCAGAGGAGAAGGGGTGGAAAGGACTATGAAGTTGGTTGCATTCACTTTCCTATTCCATCATATCCTCTTATCCCCTCCTGCAAAGGTTGTCACTTGATGGTATCATGGTTTGCTTTGTTATGTGTATTAGTGAAAAAAAAAATGCAGATGGCATTGCCATCCTGTCAACAAATATGAGCCATTCCTTACTACAGGATCAATGTCTGTATCAGTATATCTCTTGTGGGAAGATTCAACTGGACAGATCACAGCATGTTATCACAAACATTTCCCAAACAACACACTTATCCTTAGAACATAATATGAGTTTGCATTAGGGCACCATAAATCAGAAGTTCTAACGACTGTCAAAAAATTCTTATTCTTGTATAAATTACTCATATTTGAAATTTGTAATGTTTAGATTTAAAGTAAAACAACTTATTAATCCATGGGTTTGTGAAACATGGACAATTTGAAATTTAGACCACTCTTGTCACTTGGTGGGGTGAGAATACAATTCTTATATGACAGCTAGGTATTGACTGCCTTTTTGGACAGTCCAAATATCTGTGCATCTCCAGGAGCAACAGAGAAGCTTCACCAACCACATACTGATGCAGGTCCTGCAATTTTCTCCCTTTGACTTCCCTAAAACCTGTATTTCGAACCTCTTAGCTTGAGCTGGGATGTTCTCCTGAGCTTTCTCACTTAAATCTTCAAGAAGTTAATTAGCATTCTGTGGTAGACACAAAGGGAACTGCTCATCTAGACCCACAGAGAGATGGCTGATAATAATTTATGGAATTGGTTGTTTTTCAAAGGTTTCAAAACTTCTAGCCTCAGTATGAATATTTTTTACTCTCACCACAGATTATAGAAAAGGGGAGCATAAAGAAATGATGCTTCTATTGAAACAATAGAAAATTGGAAGTGAATTGATGTACAATGTCATGAAAATATGCCCTCTTTTACAATCCATTGCTGATTTTTTTTTTAGGTTTAAGTTAATCTGGCGTTTAAATGCTACACTGATGAACAGAAGGAAGAATGTGAGCTAATTTCATAGTTTGTATCAATGGTATAGCATGGTGTTATGCATGACTACATTTTAATAGGTCTATTTTCAGCCTTTCTTGGCATAGACTATAGTTGCAAACTAAAAATAAAATGTAATAGGAAAATGCACCTGCAGGTGGGCTAAAAAATTATGTGAACTAAAGATGTTTAAAATCTTACTCAATTAGTTCAGTTTTGAGTTATTTAGTGTTTTTCTGCTTCTCTCATGGTACTTTATCAAATTTATCCTTAGCTGAATTGATTAAAATTCTGAGAGACCAGATACATCAAATTATTGAAGCACAGGGAGAGTATTGCAACAATTTACTTAGTGGCAAAACATAGAAAGAAACACTATTAAAAAAAAGAAGAAGAAAAACAAAACAATAAACCCGTCCATTGGGCATTCCATATTAGCAGCACAACTTTGTCATTATTGTAGAAATTTAGAATAGTTTAAGTGGGGACCTTTGGAGGTTACCTCGTCCAACCGCTTACTTAAAAGAGGTCTAATCAGATCAAGTTGCTTAGTGTTGGGTCCTGCTGAGTCTTGAACATCTCTGAAGAGATGGATTCTACTCCCTCTTTGGCAATGTGTCCCAGGGTTTTACCATCTTCACAGTTGTTTTGTTTTGTTTTTTTTTTTTGTCTGATATGAATTCAGAATTTCCGAGGTTTCACCTTGTGTGTGTGTAGCCTCTTGTCCCATTCACCATCAAGAAGATGTGGCTTCATCTTCTCTTTGTTTGTTAATCAAGGTAGTTGCAAATAACAGTAACTTCCCCCCGCCCCTCGAGTCTTCTCTTCTCTGGACTTAACAAGACCAGGTTTCTTGGCCTGTCCTTGTATGTCCTTGTACCTTATATGGTCCTGTCCCTGAACATGTTGATGCCTTTTGCAGGACTGGCTCCAATAAATCCATACATCTCTTGTACCGAGGAGCACAGGATCGCAGACACGTCTCTCCATTTCTGAGGACAGGGGAAGGATTGTCTCCCTCAAACTGCTGGAACTGCTTACAGGGTTGCTTTTTTTTGGCAGCACTGTTGCCTACATCAGAGAAATGTATCTGCTTTTGTTGAGAATGACCTCAAATTTTACTTTCTCTTTTGTAGCCTCGTGAATGGGAATTTACCTGTTTTGTGCTCTCTTTCAAACATTTCTGTAGATTAACCCTACAAATCAGGATTTATTGGGGACCAGGTTGGTTTTTTACCATCAGAGATAAGTTACCTCCCGATTAAACTTTTCAGAGATCCAGAATCCTCTGGAATCAAGAGAAAGAGCAGAGTCTTTGCACTATTTTGGTCATATTCTGTACAATACAGTCTAGATTTTCATTCTGCAAAAAGAGATGCTTTAGGATGGAAAAAGTACAGCTAGAAAATGGTGCAGTCCTCTAAAGTAATATTGGTCTTCTGCATAAGTAGGATCATATTGAGTCCACACAGGCTATTCTTTCTGCTCCCTCCTTAGAGGAATGCCATCTTCTAATATTAAGCACTAATTTAATAGAGACTATACCAGTGTACTTATCACAGCGAAAGGTTCCAGTTTTATACCTTCCACCTCAAGAGAAAACATGTAAGGAAAAAGATTTTCAAATATCTTCATTAAAAACATCAATAAGAAAATTCCAGGTTCTGAGAAAAGGACTCATGTAGGCAAACTTAGATCTCTGTTTCTGAGCTACCATCTCTGATGAGACATGGAGAACTGATAAATAAAAACATGTTGCTGGGGAATGATTGTTTTCATCACAAAACTGACATCTCAAAACAACTGAACTGTGGTCACTTTCTCCCCTTAATTACGAAGGAAGCACATGATAACCGAGCACAGGTTCTACACTGTAGACACAGAATTAGGAGCACTGAGTACAACCACAATGGACACGTAAGATTTCCTCTGACATTGCTGTCCATTGTGATGGAAACTTTCTTCAAACTACAGTAAGACATGGTTGGTATACGTTTGGATAGAGACCTGAAAAGATTGCTTCAAGATCTCTTTTCTCTTCCTGTCCCAGCTCTCTGGGAGGAACATCTGTTCCAAAGAAAGGTGCTATGCTTTGAGAATGCCATGGCATGAGAGGAACGGCACTGCACGGTCCAGGCCATGCCATGCATGAGTAAGAGGTCATATCATTAAGCTGAGGCATTTTGATGAAATTCTATTAAATGGCAACTGGCTTTGAAACCCTTTTGTTTAATGGGAACATCCATCCTAATTTAAAAATCTTTTTGTCAAGACAGAAAGTGAGTGTGACAGAAAAAAGAGGACAGGCTTCAAATTTCTGGTCCTTCGGTGACTTAAAGACATTACTGCTCTCACAGGGCTGCTTCTGAAAGTTGTCACACACATACAGGATACAGAGCAGGGCATTAGAGAGATTATTAAACCCACCTCAGGGACGGTTTAAACTAATGTGAACTAAGGTCTGTGCATCCTCATCTGCAGGGACCCCAGCAGGGCAGGCATCTGTCAGGTGATGCCATCTTATAAACTGCTGCAGGTAAATCAGCTCATCAATCACTGTTCAGTAAGCTGAGAAACGTCAAGAAATATCTTCCTTTGGGATGGTCTAAAGATTGCAAACCTTTCCCACTCTCTATTTTAATTGCATCTTGTGTTCATTTATTCAGGTAAACCCCTATTTCCTTGGTTATAGCCTGAAACAGGGATCCAGACTACAATACTAGCAAATCAAGTTCAGAAACAAATATTTCACACACTATTCTAAGGGAAAAAACTATTGTAAAAGTAGCACTCAGAAAAAACGGTGGCTATGACCCATTAAACAACTACAGCTCAGCTTTCTAGGTTTCTTGAACCAGGAGGACAGATATTTGTTTACTTCTGGTTAAAACAAATCTCCTATTAAAACAAAAAATTCATTCTGAAGCTGACAATCCCATCTTGCACAAAGGTTGATGGCTGCCCTGGTCTTGTAAGATCCTTATAAAAGTACATGTTGGTTTCCTTTGTAAAAATTCTCATAACCTTTTGAACTAATTCCTTTGGTCTACTGTTATTTTAATCCCATTAGTCTGTAGGTAGACAGATTTTCCTATGTTGGTTGTAAAATGCATCTGCATGATTTCCTAGTCCAAGACCCTCTCTGTCTGTCATGGTAGACTGTATCTCTGGCTTTTGCCCTTTCCTATTTCTGAAAATTTTTGGAGGACATGAATGCCTGACAAATTTCACTTCAATACTTAAGACCTAAAGGTACTCTGATAGCAAAGCTGGATGACAACACAGAAGCTAATTGTAATGACAACAAAGGATTTCTTCTACTGTGTCAACATCATCAGAGGCAAAAA